AACCTGCGTTCTTTCGTTGCCAAAGTAGTTATTTAAGTTCTCATTGCATTATTGCTAAACTGTAGTTGATGCAATAATAAGAATTTTCTCCGAAAAATTCATGATTTTTTTTTATTGTTGGTCATGGGCCACCACTGTCCCGACTTTTTAAAAGAGTTTTTTAAGCTTGAATATATCATAAATAAAAAAAGATATTTGTCGATTGTTTTTGAGATATTACACTTGAAATTATTTGAACCGAAATAAGTCTTTAGATTTACTAATTAAGTAAATCTGGCGACCATCTTTAGGGCATTTTTGTACCCATCTAATCTAATCTAATCATTTTGACAATTTACTTTAAACGTTCGCTAAAATATTAATTTTTGATGCTAAATTTCCTGTCGCAACTTGATAAAACCGATTTTCGATAAAGCTTCAACTCACCCTTTTTATGTACTTCGCCGCCGAATTGTTGTAATTCTCTTTCTCTTGCGGTGTCAGCGCTCTCCAGGACCTGCTGATGATTCTGAAGTGCTCCTGAGGGCTCAAACCAAAAATCTTTCGCCGCATAATCTTGATGTACAAATTGTACCCGGTCATCCTTCTGAGTTTCGGAGCTTGCGACTTGATCGATCTGGTCATGGCTTCGATTTCAAATCAACAATGGGAATGTCGTGGCTTCTTGTTGCACTCTAGTGAACCCTTGTCTTTACCGTTTGCCAAATTTTGCATTGTTGCAGTAAAAAAACTTGTGCCAACAATACTGCTCACTAGAGTTCTTAAATAAACAATGAGAATTTTACACAGAGACAATTGTGACTTTCAAAATTATACCAAAATTGAAAACGATGAAAATAACGGTTAATTTATTAAAATACAACAATTTATGCTACATTTCCAAATTCACAATAAAAAAGAAGTAAATTTCCCCTTTTTCATGCACGGATATTTAAATTTATTTAAGAATTCTCTTGAAAATAAAATAAGTAGTTGATGTCTTCAAGACCGAGAGCGAGAACAAAAATTTGTGTCTTCCTTTTGGCAAATTTATCAAAACCCTGTTAAATTTGATAATTTTGTGAAAAATTAAAACATGCATGATTTGTTTCGCTAAAATCAGTGTGGAACACTCGATCATAGCAAAAATTAACACACGACAATTTAATAAATTCAAATTTCCCTTTCCAAAGAAAATGATGAGTCGCAGAATACAATTAACATGATAATCAAGGTCACGATTCGCGGCAGCCAACGGCTTAAATAAAAAGAAATGGAAATTGAACCATTCTAGCAGAATTAGACCCCAACAAACTTCATTCTGCCGTCAAGAAAACTCGTAATATCTTCACCGGTTCAAAAATGGCAGCTAATTTGTCCTTGAATCTTGTACTTTATTCTGTACTTTATTGCACGAAAGATATGAAAGTAGAAACAAAAAACCAAAATTCTTTAAAGAAATCGCTTGAATCGCAAAGTTCGTCGACAGCGTTCTTTCTGTTCTCTCATAAAACCGACATGTGCGAGTCGCATTTCGCTTTGGTCTCGTTGCGACGCAACCTGCGTGTCTCTGGCGTCCACACGGTTGCCTACTTTTTCATTTCAATCCGTTAAAATGCAGTTTTCCAAACTTTGACTGGGTGGACCGCCTTTCATCCGAAAGGAATTTGTCCGAAAATGCCTTTTCGGACTTCATCCGAAAATTTGGAAATAGTCCGAAAAAAATCGGAATTTATCCGAAAGGAAATAGGCCGAAAAAAATCGGAATTCATCGGAAAGGAAATAGGCCGAAAATGCCTTTTCGGACTTCATCCGAGTTATCCGTCACTGGGGAATTAAATAAATTTTTGATATTTTCATATGTTCTTTTATTAATGTGATTAGAAAAGTATAAATTCTGTTCCATCTGATAAATTTGTGGCATAAAAATAAAAATGGTAATATATAAGATTCTTTTTAAATTATGGCATTGAGCTTGATGTTGGCAAAGTTTTAGTTGGATAATTAAAAATTATAATTATTTTATAACAATGCCTTAAAAATGCCAATTACCTTAGGAATGACTTACTGAAAATTGAAAATTTCCACGTGTAACTTGTGTCCCAATATATGCTGAGAAAAATGTGTCACGTGACGTGCGCTTGTGTCGCTTTGTCCGGTAAGTTTTGTCTGCTGTAACTTGTTGCCGCATCACAAAACCACACAGTTTTTCCAAACTTTTTGCCAGGTATAAGAAGTGCCATTTCCGTTTATCTCAAACTTGTTTATGTTCAACTCCTAATACAGTTGATTGATAAAAAAAAAACGGTATATTATTTTCATAGCCGGTTTTCGGATTAATTCCGATTTTTTCGGACTATTTCCAAATTTTCGGATAAAGTCCAAAAAGGCACTTTCGAACTAATTCCTTTCGGACTAATTCCTTTCGGACTAAATCCGGCGACCCTTTGACTGGAAGCACAGCAATTTTCGGGCGAATAATTGATGGGAAATTTGCTGGCTGCTGTCGACAGAAAAATAACAATGAAATGAATACTCAACAAAAGAAATTGGCACATGAAGAGACGATCATTGAATTGAAAAAAAAACGGGCTTCGTCTTTGATTTGAGTTATTTTCCTCTGAATTATTTAGATGCAAAAATCTAATACGTCAGGTGCATTATAACGAACACCAGGTGACTCCAGTGCAGATCTTATATTCGCATTTTTTAATTAATTCCTCTCTTTGTAATTAACTTTAAGACTTGGAACAAAATTGATTGATTCCTAATTTCACTTGGAGGCTCAAATCTAAATTGATAGAAATCACCGGCCGATAACTCCGTTTGGAGTTGGCTGGACTTGTAACTTCTTTCAAATAAATATACTTCATTTAAAAAAAAAACTTGAAATGAAGAAACGTTTTATTTCATGAAAAACATTGGTTTGCTTGTGAGATTTTCCGAATTTTCCGCATCTTATTGTTGTTTATTCTACTCAAGTCATACATGAAAAAATAATTGATTTCAAAAAAAAAAAAAAAATGAGCAGAAAGGGTATCACAACTAGCAGAGGTCTGCTAAAACGCCCGACATCAAAAAGAGATAGGCCACCGCGTGAACCCACACTATCGTAAAAAAAAGAACAATCTGATATAAACACCTAATTATTAAATTATTAATGCAATCTTCATTCCATTTTTCTAGTTCTAAAAGTCCAATCACCCTTTTTAAATAATTACAAGAAGAGCGTGAGCGCGGCAGCCGCTGCATTTGATCAGGCGAACGAGAGAAAGAGACACACGGGCACACACGTGTGTGTGTCGCGGCCGTGTTCTTTGCTGGCCCACAAGCAACAGGCCCGCGCGGCGATTTCTGTGGCTAAATTTCCCCTGTTTTCAATTACAATAATCAACTTTAATTTCCACATTTGTTACTTTAAATTGATCTTCAAAATTCTACAATTGATCTTAATTTTCTCATCTTGATTTATTTCTTATTAAAATGCCACAATTCAAGCTTATTTTTTCCTAATTTAGCCAGACAATTATTTTCACGTGAAATTATTTACATTCATTAAACGTCTCCTTTAATTACAAGGTTCAAATTAAACATGCAAAAGACAAATAATTCTCTGCGGCCAAATATCCATTTGAAAAAACGAAAAATTATAAATTCCAACCAGTCGAGTTATTGTCTGTGATCGCAGAATTTTGGCTACTGCGGCTCAAGAGGGACCTTTTGTGTTTGGCTGCTCACTCATGCATAAAATTATCATTTTTCTTTAGAAATACTGGCTGCGCATTCAGAAATTTGTCAGCTCTATTTTTACTCATAATTGTTTACGCATCTCGCGGCTCTCGGCCACCACTGCTGCTCGCACCCTGATCTCCTCACAACAATAAGTCGCGGTCAGCTTTTTCATTTCTCTTGAACTTTCTGCCCGTTTCTTTTCTGAAATCAATTTTACTCCGAAGAGAAAAAAAATCTACATTTTTTTTTTGCCATACGATGCTGGGCAGAGCAGTCATAAAGCTTTCTCACAATAATAATAATAATTTTAGATTTTTACAAATTACAAAAATAAAACTTGCTGAATTCGATACCACAGGTACTATAAATTACCTAAATTGAAATAAACTTTACATTTTATTGACAAATTTAATTTGAATTAAATTCCGATGGGGATCAGAAAAAACCTGGTTATTTGACGAAAATGCACTGCTCTGCACAAGTGTGGTTTACTCATATTTCATATCAGTATTTTCTGGAAAAAAAGAATAATATTATTTTGCACACCATGCAATAAAAAAATAGCAAGTTAATTTTATTAAATGAAGAACAATTTCTAAAAACCGTTTTATTTTCGTTACGGCTAACCCACTGAACGCCGCGAATTAAATCTTAAATTTTCAAAAGTTGTCTGGCCCTTAAAATGATTGGCCTTGGGACAATGAAACGCTGGATCTGGGGTGTGTCTAGGGTTTTAAGGGTTGGCGAAAAAGATGAACTTTATTCTGAATTAATTAATAATTCGCGGTCGAATTACTCGACGGCCGCTGCGGCTGCAGCCGTATGATTCGGGAACTCTGAAATATAAGAAAGGTGGGCGAAACGGCCGGGCTAGTGCGGCGTTTGTTTCTAAGCGGGCAGGCGGCTTACGTGCCTCGTGCAGGCTTTTAAACGCGCCTAGCCTTCCAACTAATGAAACAATAATGATATTATTTTAAGAAATGTTGTCCATTAACCAAGTGATGCGGGCAAGAAGCGGAATGCAATTTTGTTTGCTGCAACTTTCAATTTTCTTGTGATATTTGATTCATGACGAATGCAATCTGCCCAGAAATAAATTTTGCATATTTTCTTATATAAAACTTCACCGATTTCCATTTTCCATTTTCAGATATTTTTGTAATACGGTAATACTCAAAGCTGAAATGATTCTTTTGCAGGTGTCTTTTGTATGGACGACCTACACCGTCACGATTGAGTGCCTCTGGAAAGTCTGAAAGCCAAATACGAGCTCACACTCCTCGGCTTTGAGTATAATTGCGGCAAAACGTAAGTTTTTTCTTATTATTTATTTGCCTTGATATGTACTCTAAGTAATTTTGGAATTGGAAATTTAAATTCTATGGCGCCGCAAATTATCATTTTATATTTAAATTTTTTTGTGAATCATGACAAATTAACGTGGATTACACTCACTGACAATGTACTCAAGCGTCGAAAACGATTAATTTTGGCCGAATTTCCAATTGTTCCAAAAACCGTTGAAGAAATAGATCATTAAAATAATTATTCTTTTTTTGTAAAATTTTATGAAGAAAACAGTCGAATATAGTTATGTGCGTATAATTATTTTCAAGTGCATTTATGCTTACATTTAGTCAATGGAACAGACCAATCAAAGTTATACGAGCAAGATCTTACCTCTCGAGATGCTCACCTGAGTTGGCTAACACTGCGGCCAGTATTTTTATTTTATTTTTACTCGTTGCTCACCATCTAAATCGGAATAGCATGGGAAAGGGGCAATGATATTATTTTATGAAATGTTGTCCATTAACCAAGTGATGTGGGCAAGAAGCCGTGGCCAGGCGGAATGCAATTTTGTTTGCTACAAGTTTCGATTTCCTTGTGATATTTGATTCATGATGAATGCAATCGGCCCAGAAATAAATTTTGCAAATTTTCTTATATCAAACTTCACCGAATCCAAAATTCGCAGGGTTTTAATGAAAATATTCCTCTCGGCGACAAACTTTATAAACCTTTCAATAGAAGCTATATAACGTTAAACTTTGACCTCATTGCAAGACTTTGAAACTCTATAATTTTGAAGTTCGTCCACATTTGTTAAATTTGATTTAAAAAATAATCACCAATTAATTTATTCACAATCAGTCAGATCATGTAAAATTGAAAGTGGCAAAGTGGCATTTTAATTCCACAATTCACAATTTTATTTTTAAATATATATCTTCTGTTTTTTTTATTATCGTGGATCGAGTCTCTGAAAATTTGATATGATTTATCACAAAAGTTACTGCCTTTTTAAGGCATGGCCCACTTCCCTCTCACAGTCAACCACCTTCTCAGTTGTCGGAATCGTTGCCTGCAGAGAGAAACAATATTGAAAGGGCAATTTCTGGCCCTTGTGCATTTTCTACTGCCACTGCAAGTTGGGCAGATTGAGAAAGAACCGCTCGTCCTTTAATGCTGAGGGGCCTATCGGACCCTTGATAGGACCTGCCGAGTTGTCGCTTCTTTTGGTTAAGCTGACAAAAGTGTGAAACCTTCAACCTCAGGCAATTGATTAATGACGGTGTCAAAGTAAATGAGCCGCCCTATTGCCCTCGCGCTGCGCGCGGGGCCTTCCCCACGTCCGTCATCGACCTCGCTGCGCCTCCAGCCAAATTCCCTCTATTTAATTTTATTCATGGAAAATGCCCAAAAGAGTGAAAGCCTTAATGAATTCCTCACGTGCGTTGCCGTGAAAAAGGGCGAATAATATTTCCTCTCGTAAGCCTTAAAAAGCAAAGAGTGTTTTACATTGCATTGTAACCATAATTTTTACAGAGGTCTCTCGAATAAAAACGTAAAAAAAAATATAATATATAATGAAACGCTACTTTTCTAATTATCTATTAATTAAATATAAAAAAGTCTTAACTTTAACTTTCCTTTTTTCTTTCTTAAGTAATCAAAGGTGAACAACTTTTTTCATTTATCAGTTAATATAACCTCTCGTGAGCCCTTAACGAAGAATTTTCTCTTTTACTTAATTTTAAATTCCCACGTTGGTGGCCCTGAAAGTTGCTGCTTTTATTTCTTACTTTAAAATGCTTAAAAATTTTGCAGCCGTAAACTGGTCCCAAACTTAAATTTTTTTTTCAACATTGCTCGCGATCAAACTTGATCAATTTTGGGTGGCCCTGAAAAGGGCCGGTTTTTGGCCCTGAAAAGGGCCGTTTTTGTCCAAGAGTCTTGAAGTTGGAGCGACCGTCTTCCAGGAAGGCGACGAACCCAAGGGTCAGGCGGCCACATTAAATAAGAAAAGAATTAGCAATAAAGGCAAAAAGAAATATAAACGGTTAATAATATGTCAACATGCTATGGTATACAACTTAGTTTTCATCTCTAAAGCGCCGGCGGATTTCTTTGGCTCGTCCCTTGTAGCTTTCCTTCTTCTTCTTCTCCAGCCTCTTCCACTTCTTGATGAGCTTTGAGAAGGTCGCTTGAGGGGTGACCCCAGCTACCTTTGCCTTCTCAAAGCTCTCTTGCACAAACAAATTGAGGCCGCTCGTTCGGCACACAGCTTTCACGCCAGGAGGTGGGCCATTCTGAAGTGTCAAAGAAAATCAACCTCAAATTACCAAAGTATGGTATAATTCAGGCTACATTTTCAAATAATATGGAATAGGTTTTGAAGTTTATTTGTTCAAAAAAAGTAGTCGGGGAAAATTTTGAGTAAAATTTTAACGGATATTAAAAAACACTGAAAAATCGCTTTTCCACAATAGAAATAAATGTTCTAACAGCGACAGCATAGATTTTTTTTAGAACATAGAACCGGCGCCAGTGGCAGAGTGGTTAGTGTGCTTGCATTCTGAGCTCGGCTGGCGTGTGTTCGAGCCTTGAAATTTGTTTGCATTGCGATAGCAAAAAGTTGTGTGTGAGCCGGACACTCGCCAGTGGAATCCGGGAGATGCAGAGCAATCTGCGTCGACTCGCTGCCGGCTGGTTTCAACCTTTCCAGCCGGGCATATTGGTATGTGGCGAATGCACAGCGTTGCAATTGCGAGTCCTCAGTGGCGAGGCAAACACGCTCTGACTGTCTTGCAAATGGGTGCATCTCGATCGGGGGGCAACTCGCGATTCCCGGTGACACTCCATAAGCTCAAGACTCAAATGTTCTTAATAAAAAAAGCAAGCAGAAAAATTATCAAAGTATTCAACCAACATGTTAGGCGTGAAATTCATAACTGAATTGATTATCATTATAGGAACCTGCGTTCTTTCGTTGCCAAAGTAGTTATTTAAGTTCTCATTGCATTATTGCTAAACTGTAGTTGATGCAATAATAAGAATTTTCTCCGAAAAATTCATGATTTTTTTTTATTGTTGGTCATGGGCCACCACTGTCCCGACTTTTTAAAAGAGTTTTTTAAGCTTGAATATATCATAAATAAAAAAAGATATTTGTCGATTGTTTTTGAGATATTACACTTGAAATTATTTGAACCGAAATAAGTCTTTAGATTTACTAATTAAGTAAATCTGGCGACCATCTTTAGGGCATTTTTGTACCCATCTAATCTAATCTAATCATTTTGACAATTTACTTTAAACGTTCGCTAAAATATTAATTTTTGATGCTAAATTTCCTGTCGCAACTTGATAAAACCGATTTTCGATAAAGCTTCAACTCACCCTTTTTATGTACTTCGCCGCCGAATTGTTGTAATTCTCTTTCTCTTGCGGTGTCAGCGCTCTCCAGGACCTGCTGATGATTCTGAAGTGCTCCTGAGGGCTCAAACCAAAAATCTTTCGCCGCATAATCTTGATGTACAAATTGTACCCGGTCATCCTTCTGAGTTTCGGAGCTTGCGACTTGATCGATCTGGTCATGGCTTCGATTTCAAATCAACAATGGGAATGTCGTGGCTTCTTGTTGCACTCTAGTGAACCCTTGTCTTTACCGTTTGCCAAATTTTGCATTGTTGCAGTAAAAAAACTTGTGCCAACAATACTGCTCACTAGAGTTCTTAAATAAACAATGAGAATTTTACACAGAGACAATTGTGACTTTCAAAATTATACCAAAATTGAAAACGATGAAAATAACGGTTAATTTATTAAAATACAACAATTTATGCTACATTTCCAAATTCACAATAAAAAAGAAGTAAATTTCCCCTTTTTCATGCACGGATATTTAAATTTATTTAAGAATTCTCTTGAAAATAAAATAAGTAGTTGATGTCTTCAAGACCGAGAGCGAGAACAAAAATTTGTGTCTTCCTTTTGGCAAATTTATCAAAACCCTGTTAAATTTGATAATTTTGTGAAAAATTAAAACATGCATGATTTGTTTCGCTAAAATCAGTGTGGAACACTCGATCATAGCAAAAATTAACACACGACAATTTAATAAATTCAAATTTCCCTTTCCAAAGAAAATGATGAGTCGCAGAATACAATTAACATGATAATCAAGGTCACGATTCGCGGCAGCCAACGGCTTAAATAAAAAGAAATGGAAATTGAACCATTCTAGCAGAATTAGACCCCAACAAACTTCATTCTGCCGTCAAGAAAACTCGTAATATCTTCACCGGTTCAAAAATGGCAGCTAATTTGTCCTTGAATCTTGTACTTTATTCTGTACTTTATTGCACGAAAGATATGAAAGTAGAAACAAAAAACCAAAATTCTTTAAAGAAATCGCTTGAATCGCAAAGTTCGTCGACAGCGTTCTTTCTGTTCTCTCATAAAACCGACATGTGCGAGTCGCATTTCGCTTTGGTCTCGTTGCGACGCAACCTGCGTGTCTCTGGCGTCCACACGGTTGCCTACTTTTTCATTTCAATCCGTTAAAATGCAGTTTTCCAAACTTTGACTGGGTGGACCGCCTTTCATCCGAAAGGAATTTGTCCGAAAATGCCTTTTCGGACTTCATCCGAAAATTTGGAAATAGTCCGAAAAAAATCGGAATTTATCCGAAAGGAAATAGGCCGAAAAAAATCGGAATTCATCGGAAAGGAAATAGGCCGAAAATGCCTTTTCGGACTTCATCCGAGTTATCCGTCACTGGGGAATTAAATAAATTTTTGATATTTTCATATGTTCTTTTATTAATGTGATTAGAAAAGTATAAATTCTGTTCCATCTGATAAATTTGTGGCATAAAAATAAAAATGGTAATATATAAGATTCTTTTTAAATTATGGCATTGAGCTTGATGTTGGCAAAGTTTTAGTTGGATAATTAAAAATTATAATTATTTTATAACAATGCCTTAAAAATGCCAATTACCTTAGGAATGACTTACTGAAAATTGAAAATTTCCACGTGTAACTTGTGTCCCAATATATGCTGAGAAAAATGTGTCACGTGACGTGCGCTTGTGTCGCTTTGTCCGGTAAGTTTTGTCTGCTGTAACTTGTTGCCGCATCACAAAACCACACAGTTTTTCCAAACTTTTTGCCAGGTATAAGAAGTGCCATTTCCGTTTATCTCAAACTTGTTTATGTTCAACTCCTAATACAGTTGATTGATAAAAAAAAAACGGTATATTATTTTCATAGCCGGTTTTCGGATTAATTCCGATTTTTTCGGACTATTTCCAAATTTTCGGATAAAGTCCAAAAAGGCACTTTCGAACTAATTCCTTTCGGACTAATTCCTTTCGGACTAAATCCGGCGACCCTTTGACTGGAAGCACAGCAATTTTCGGGCGAATAATTGATGGGAAATTTGCTGGCTGCTGTCGACAGAAAAATAACAATGAAATGAATACTCAACAAAAGAAATTGGCACATGAAGAGACGATCATTGAATTGAAAAAAAAACGGGCTTCGTCTTTGATTTGAGTTATTTTCCTCTGAATTATTTAGATGCAAAAATCTAATACGTCAGGTGCATTATAACGAACACCAGGTGACTCCAGTGCAGATCTTATATTCGCATTTTTTAATTAATTCCTCTCTTTGTAATTAACTTTAAGACTTGGAACAAAATTGATTGATTCCTAATTTCACTTGGAGGCTCAAATCTAAATTGATAGAAATCACCGGCCGATAACTCCGTTTGGAGTTGGCTGGACTTGTAACTTCTTTCAAATAAATATACTTCATTTAAAAAAAAAACTTGAAATGAAGAAACGTTTTATTTCATGAAAAACATTGGTTTGCTTGTGAGATTTTCCGAATTTTCCGCATCTTATTGTTGTTTATTCTACTCAAGTCATACATGAAAAAATAATTGATTTCAAAAAAAAAAAAAAAATGAGCAGAAAGGGTATCACAACTAGCAGAGGTCTGCTAAAACGCCCGACATCAAAAAGAGATAGGCCACCGCGTGAACCCACACTATCGTAAAAAAAAGAACAATCTGATATAAACACCTAATTATTAAATTATTAATGCAATCTTCATTCCATTTTTCTAGTTCTAAAAGTCCAATCACCCTTTTTAAATAATTACAAGAAGAGCGTGAGCGCGGCAGCCGCTGCATTTGATCAGGCGAACGAGAGAAAGAGACACACGGGCACACACGTGTGTGTGTCGCGGCCGTGTTCTTTGCTGGCCCACAAGCAACAGGCCCGCGCGGCGATTTCTGTGGCTAAATTTCCCCTGTTTTCAATTACAATAATCAACTTTAATTTCCACATTTGTTACTTTAAATTGATCTTCAAAATTCTACAATTGATCTTAATTTTCTCATCTTGATTTATTTCTTATTAAAATGCCACAATTCAAGCTTATTTTTTCCTAATTTAGCCAGACAATTATTTTCACGTGAATTTATTTACATTCATTAAACGTCTCCTTTAATTACAAGGTTCAAATTAAACATGCAAAAGACAAATAATTCTCTGCGGCCAAATATCCATTTGAAAAAACGAAAAATTATAAATTCCAACCAGTCGAGTTATTGTCTGTGATCGCAGAATTTTGGCTACTGCGGCTCAAGAGGGACCTTTTGTGTTTGGCTGCTCACTCATGCATAAAATTATCATTTTTCTTTAGAAATACTGGCTGCGCATTCAGAAATTTGTCAGCTCTATTTTTACTCATAATTGTTTACGCATCTCGCGGCTCTCGGCCACCACTGCTGCTCGCACCCTGATCTCCTCACAACAATAAGTCGCGGTCAGCTTTTTCATTTCTCTTGAACTTTCTGCCCGTTTCTTTTCTGAAATCAATTTTACTCCGAAGAGAAAAAAAATCTACATTTTTTTTTTGCCATACGATGCTGGGCAGAGCAGTCATAAAGCTTTCTCACAATAATAATAATAATTTTAGATTTTTACAAATTACAAAAATAAAACTTGCTGAATTCGATACCACAGGTACTATAAATTACCTAAATTGAAATAAACTTTACATTTTATTGACAAATTTAATTTGAATTAAATTCCGATGGGGATCAGAAAAAACCTGGTTATTTGACGAAAATGCACTGCTCTGCACAAGTGTGGTTTACTCATATTTCATATCAGTATTTTCTGGAAAAAAAGAATAATATTATTTTGCACACCATGCAATAAAAAAATAGCAAGTTAATTTTATTAAATGAAGAACAATTTCTAAAAACCGTTTTATTTTCGTTACGGCTAACCCACTGAACGCCGCGAATTAAATCTTAAATTTTCAAAAGTTGTCTGGCCCTTAAAATGATTGGCCTTGGGACAATGAAACGCTGGATCTGGGGTGTGTCTAGGGTTTTAAGGGTTGGCGAAAAAGATGAACTTTATTCTGAATTAATTAATAATTCGCGGTCGAATTACTCGACGGCCGCTGCGGCTGCAGCCGTATGATTCGGGAACTCTGAAATATAAGAAAGGTGGGCGAAACGGCCGGGCTAGTGCGGCGTTTGTTTCTAAGCGGGCAGGCGGCTTACGTGCCTCGTGCAGGCTTTTAAACGCGCCTAGCCTTCCAACTAATGAAACAATAATGATATTATTTTAAGAAATGTTGTCCATTAACCAAGTGATGCGGGCAAGAAGCGGAATGCAATTTTGTTTGCTGCAACTTTCAATTTTCTTGTGATATTTGATTCATGACGAATGCAATCTGCCCAGAAATAAATTTTGCATATTTTCTTATATAAAACTTCACCGATTTCCATTTTCCATTTTCAGATATTTTTGTAATACGGTAATACTCAAAGCTGAAATGATTCTTTTGCAGGTGTCTTTTGTATGGACGACCTACACCGTCACGATTGAGTGCCTCTGGAAAGTCTGAAAGCCAAATACGAGCTCACACTCCTCGGCTTTGAGTATAATTGCGGCAAAACGTAAGTTTTTTCTTATTATTTATTTGCCTTGATATGTACTCTAAGTAATTTTGGAATTGGAAATTTAAATTCTATGGCGCCGCAAATTATCATTTTATATTTAAATTTTTTTGTGAATCATGACAAATTAACGTGGATTACACTCACTGACAATGTACTCAAGCGTCGAAAACGATTAATTTTGGCCGAATTTCCAATTGTTCCAAAAACCGTTGAAGAAATAGATCATTAAAATAATTATTCTTTTTTTGTAAAATTTTATGAAGAAAACAGTCGAATATAGTTATGTGCGTATAATTATTTTCAAGTGCATTTATGCTTACATTTAGTCAATGGAACAGACCAATCAAAGTTATACGAGCAAGATCTTACCTCTCGAGATGCTCACCTGAGTTGGCTAACACTGCGGCCAGTATTTTTATTTTATTTTTACTCGTTGCTCACCATCTAAATCGGAATAGCATGGGAAAGGGGCAATGATATTATTTTATGAAATGTTGTCCATTAACCAAGTGATGTGGGCAAGAAGCCGTGGCCAGGCGGAATGCAATTTTGTTTGCTACAAGTTTCGATTTCCTTGTGATATTTGATTCATGATGAATGCAATCGGCCCAGAAATAAATTTTGCAAATTTTCTTATATCAAACTTCACCGAATCCAAAATTCGCAGGGTTTTAATGAAAATATTCCTCTCGGCGACAAACTTTATAAACCTTTCAATAGAAGCTATATAACGTTAAACTTTGACCTCATTGCAAGACTTTGAAACTCTATAATTTTGAAGTTCGTCCACATTTGTTAAATTTGATTTAAAAAATAATCACCAATTAATTTATTCACAATCAGTCAGATCATGTAAAATTGAAAGTGGCAAAGTGGCATTTTAATTCCACAATTCACAATTTTATTTTTAAATATATATCTTCTGTTTTTTTTATTATCGTGGATCGAGTCTCTGAAAATTTGATATGATTTATCACAAAAGTTACTGCCTTTTTAAGGCATGGCCCACTTCCCTCTCACAGTCAACCACCTTCTCAGTTGTCGGAATCGTTGCCTGCAGAGAGAAACAATATTGAAAGGGCAATTTCTGGCCCTTGTGCATTTTCTACTGCCACTGCAAGTTGGGCAGATTGAGAAAGAACCGCTCGTCCTTTAATGCTGAGGGGCCTATCGGACCCTTGATAGGACCTGCCGAGTTGTCGCTTCTTTTGGTTAAGCTGACAAAAGTGTGAAACCTTCAACCTCAGGCAATTGATTAATGACGGTGTCAAAGTAAATGAGCCGCCCTATTGCCCTCGCGCTGCGCGCGGGGCCTTCCCCACGTCCGTCATCGACCTCGCTGCGCCTCCAGCCAAATTCCCTCTATTTAATTTTATTCATGGAAAATGCCCAAAAGAGTGAAAGCCTTAATGAATTCCTCACGTGCGTTGCCGTGAAAAAGGGCGAATAATATTTCCTCTCGTAAGCCTTAAAAAGCAAAGAGTGTTTTACATTGCATTGTAACCATAATTTTTACAGAGGTCTCTCGAATAAAAACGTAAAAAAAAATATAATATATAATGAAACGCTACTTTTCTAATTATCTATTAATTAAATATAAAAAAGTCTTAACTTTAACTTTCCTTTTTTCTTTCTTAAGTAATCAAAGGTGAACAACTTTTTTCATTTATCAGTTAATATAACCTCTCGTGAGCCCTTAACGAAGAATTTTCTCTTTTACTTAATTTTAAATTCCCACGTTGGTGGCCCTGAAAGTTGCTGCTTTTATTTCTTACTTTAAAATGCTTAAAAATTTTGCAGCCGTAAACTGGTCCCAAACTTAAATTTTTTTTTCAACATTGCTCGCGATCAAACTTGATCAATTTTGGGTGGCCCTGAAAAGGGCCGGTTTTTGGCCCTGAAAAGGGCCGGTTTTTGGCCCTGAAAAGGGCCGTTTTTGTCCAAGAGTCTTGAAGTTGGAGCGACCGTCTTCCAGGAAGGCGACGAACCCAAGGGTCAGGCGGCCACATTAAATAAGAAAAGAATTAGCAATAAAGGCAAAAAGAAATATAAACGGTTAATAATATGTCAACATGCTATGGTATACAACTTAGTTTTCATCTCTAAAGCGCCGGCGGATTTCTTTGGCTCGTCCCTTGTAGCTTTCCTTCTTCTTCTTCTCCAGCCTCTTCCACTTCTTGATGAGCTTTGAGAAGGTCGCTTGAGGGGTGACCCCAGCTACCTTTGCCTTCTCAAAGCTCTCTTGCACAAACAAATTGAGGCCGCTCGTTCGGCACACAGCTTTCACGCCAGGAGGTGGGCCATTCTGAAGTGTCAAAGAAAATCAACCTCAAATTACCAAAGTATGGTATAATTCAGGCTACATTTTCAAATAATATGGAATAGGTTTTGAAGTTTATTTGTTCAAAAAAAGTAGTCGGGGAAAATTTTGAGTAAAATTTTAACGGATATTAAAAAACACTGAAAAATCGCTTTTCCACAATAGAAATAAATGTTCTAACAGCGACAGCATAGATTTTTTTTAGAACATAGAACCGGCGCCAGTGGCAGAGTGGTTAGTGTGCTTGCATTCTGAGCTCGGCTGGCGTGTGTTCGAGCCTTGAAATTTGTTTGCATTGCGATAGCAAAAAGTTGTGTGTGAGCCGGACACTCGCCAGTGGAATCCGGGAGATGCAGAGCAATCTGCGTCGACTCGCTGCCGGCTGGTTTCAACCTTTCCAGCCGGGCATATTGGTATGTGGCGAATGCACAGCGTTGCAATTGCGAGTCCTCAGTGGCGAGGCAAACACGCTCTGACTGTCTTGCAAATGGGTGCATCTCGATCGGGGGGCAACTCGCGATTCCCGGTGACACTCCATAAGCTCAAGACTCAAATGTTCTTAATAAAAAAAGCAAGCAGAAAAATTATCAAAGTATTCAACCAACATGTTAGGCGTGAAATTCATAACTGAATTGATTATCATTATAGGAACCTGCGTTCTTTCGTTGCCAAAGTAGTTATTTAAGTTCTCATTGCATTATTGCTAAACTGTAGTTGATGCAATAATAAGAATTTTCTCCGAAAAATTCATGATTTTTTTTTATTGTTGGTCATGGGCCACCACTGTCCCGACTTTTTAAAAGAGTTTTTTAAGCTTGAATATATCATAAATAAAAAAAGATATTTGTCGATTGTTTTTGAGATATTACACTTGAAATTATTTGAACCGAAATAAGTCTTTAGATTTACTAATTAAGTAAATCTGGCGACCATCTTTAGGGCATTTTTGTACCCATCTAATCTAATCTAATCATTTTGACAATTTACTTTAAACGTTCGCTAAAATATTAATTTTTGATGCTAAATTTCCTGTCGCAACTTGATAAAACCGATTTTCGATAAAGCTTCAACTCACCCTTTTTATGTACTTCGCCGCCGAATTGTTGTAATTCTCTTTCTCTTGCGGTGTCAGCGCTCTCCAGGACCTGCTGATGATTCTGAAGTGCTCCTGAGGGCTCAAACCAAAAATCTTTCGCCGCATAATCTTGATGTACAAATTGTACCCGGTCATCCTTCTGAGTTTCGGAGCTTGCGACTTGATCGATCTGGTCATGGCTTCGATTTCAAATCAACAATGGGAATGTCGTGGCTTCTTGTTGCACTCTAGTGAACCCTTGTCTTTACCGTTTGCCAAATTTTGCATTGTTGCAGTAAAAAAACTTGTGCCAACAATACTGCTCACTAGAGTTCTTAAATAAACAATGAGAATTTTACACAGAGACAATTGTGACTTTCAAAATTATACCAAAATTGAAAACGATGAAAATAACGGTTAATTTATTAAAATACAACAATTTATGCTACATTTCCAAATTCACAATAAAAAAGAAGTAAATTTCCCCTTTTTCATGCACGGATATTTAAATTTATTTAAGAATTCTCTTGAAAATAAAATAAGTAGTTGATGTCTTCAAGACCGAGAGCGAGAACAAAAATTTGTGTCTTCCTTTTGGCAAATTTATCAAAACCCTGTTAAATTTGATAATTTTGTGAAAAATTAAAACATGCATGATTTGTTTCGCTAAAATCAGTGTGGAACACTCGATCATAGCAAAAATTAACACACGACAATTTAATAAATTCAAATTTCCCTTTCCAAAGAAAATGATGAGTCGCAGAATACAATTAACATGATAATCAAGGTCACGATTCGCGGCAGCCAACGGCTTAAATAAAAAGAAATGGAAATTGAACCATTCTAGCAGAATTAGACCCCAACAAACTTCATTCTGCCGTCAAGAAAACTCGTAATATCTTCACCGGTTCAAAAATGGCAGCTAATTTGTCCTTGAATCTTGTACTTTATTCTGTACTTTATTGCACGAAAGATATGAAAGTAGATACAAAAAACCAAAATTCTTTAAATAAATCGCTTGAATCGCAAAGTTCGTCGACAGCGTTCTTTCTGTTCTCTCATAAAACCGACATGTGCGAGTCGCATTTCGCTTGGTCTCGTTGCGACGCAACCTGCGTGTCTCTGGCGTCCACACGGTTGCCTACTTTTTCATATCAATCCGTGAAAATGCAGTTTTCCAAAGTTTGACTCGAAGCACAGCAATTTTCGGGCGTATAATTTAAGGGAAATTTGCTGGCTGCAGTCGACAGAAAAATAACAATGAAATGAATACTCAACAACTCACATGTAGAGACGATCATTGAATTGAAAAAAAAGCGGGCTTGTTCTTTAATTTGAGTTTAGAAGCCACTGCACGCCATTCAGCTTGCATATATTTGTTATACAAATGTTGCTTATGGAATTATATTGATAGAAACTATGTTGTGAAGGACTAATTAAATATTTAAATTTTACATAAGATCTTTTGAGTACATTGTCCTGAAATACTATAAAAAATTCATTTATTTTTATTTTTTACAGGATGACGGAAAATCAACAGCTTTTATCCCTAGAGGCAAAAGCAACAATCGTTGCTGCTGTAGGAGACGCCTTGCGAATGCAGCCGTCAACGGTTATCGAGCAATTATTTCAAAAGAAGCCAAAGGTTGCAGAAATTTTGTCACCCATAGAATTAAAAAGCCTTGTGTCTGAGCTAAGGCCTCTGTTGACACATGAAGAAGCTGAAAATTTGGTCGAGACGGCGCACGTCAGCATCCCTAACTTTTATGCAGGTGCCCATTATGGTATTATATTTCAAAGGTTATTTTGACTGACTTCATTAATTTTAATTTATCACTAGCTGCTGCTGAATTCAAAAGTGCTGTTCTTAAGTTCAAGCATGTGATTCAAGCTGCCGCAAGACACTCTGTGTACAGAGTATTTGATCAACCTGCCTTTTCTGACAGACAAATTGAATACCCTTCTTTAACAGGTATCCATGTGTCTCCTTCATAAATTAAGATAATTAATTAACGCTCCTTGGCTGTTTACAATTTGCCATAGTTAAACATATTTATTGTTCAAAACGTACATTGATTCATTGATTGATATATTGTCTCAATGCATTTTATCTATTCCTCTCCAGTTTTTCTTTACCCTGCAATGAACAACCTGAAGCCAGAGAAACCAGTCAGAGTTACCTGTAAGTTTAATTTAAAAATTTTATTCTTAAAAGTTTTAATGATTGTCCAATACCTCACTTGACGAATAATAATTTTTTAAATTTTTTTTTTCAACTATTCAAATGAAAATATCTCATTTCTTTTGATTTCTAGCTCTACTTACCAAATCAGGCAAAGAAAAGCTAAAGCCTTTGAATACTTGCAAGAAGATCGAGGGTTTTCCCTATCCTGATGAAACCTGGTCGAAAGGAAATTGCGCTCTGAATGCGAAGCTCTTCTTAATTCAAGCCCTGTGCAAGGAGGGGGTAAATGCAGATTTTCTGTTTTACATATTCCATTATTCCTATTCAGATATTTAATTAGCATGAAATTTTTATGATTATTTAAATACGTATTATATTTTTTTATTTGTAGTGATCCTTTTAAATGGCAAGCCATTTCCTGTTGCAACATTTTTAGCGAGGACATTTTTTGAAAAGCATTGACTGAAATATTTTTTAGCACATCAAGGCAGCCACTCTCCTGGCATACAAGGCAATGTTTGGTCCCCTGAGAGACCTCCTTGAATGTCTTGTGCTCACGAATGGAAAATGGTCCCAAGAAGCAGAGAACTTGCGCCATTGGACAATCTTTTGCAGGTAAAATCTTAATTCAATTCAGCGATTTTTTTCACAAGAGACATTATTTTCCCAGTTATCCACATGTCTATTTAAACAACTGGGACACGAATGCGGCCTGGGAGGAGATTTTTTTTTCTTCCCAGACCGTCCTTCTAAGAGAAGAGGTTTGTGTCATGTGTGAGGATGTTCAACAAATTTCGTCTGGGCCACCGCACCTCAGTCCAGAAGAGGCATTAGTAGTTGTGGCGGGAGAAAAGGCTGGACTGGACCCTTCAAAGACTTGCCGAGAATGCGGCGTAAGAATTTTTTTTGCGTGCATTTACTATTTCAAATTTTTGATCCGACTTCCAATGCAGGCGAAAGGCCAAATTAAAGCCAGAATTGTCCTGTCGGAATCTGTTATTGCGTTGGACTTCAGCCACCCTGGAAGTTCAATGGGGTTACCGACACTCCAGGAGGCCACACAGAAAGGACTTCTCCGAGACAACTTCTGGATGCATGATCAGGAATATGTGAAGTTTGGAGCTGGTAATTTAAAATTTAACAGGATTAAATGCCATTTTTTATTGAAAAAATTGCATTGTAGTGGTTGACGAAATCGCGGAAACTGAACCGTACATTAGAGATGGGTGGCCGGATGACCATGTTTCCTCTCAATACAACGAGGCGAAATTGGTTTCCGCCGTCAAATATAACATTGGAGAGCCTCCCTTACGCAACGAGAGCAAAGAAGAGGAAGAAGAAGCATGCCAACAGAGCCGCGCCTCTTCACACAACTTCTTTATCTTAAGTAAAGACGGAAAAGACAGAAGAATCTGTGACGCATCCGTAAGCACCAGCTTTGACGAGAAAGAGTTTGTTGAGACACAGGGAACTAGATACACAATTCAGTACCTTTACTTCGTTCCAAAAAGTGCGATTTCAGAAAGCAAAGATGAACAAGGCAAGATAGAAGATGAGAAACGTAAGTAACAATCTAATAGTAAGCTTGTAAAGCAGGCGCGATTAAAAATTTACTACATTTTATTTTACATTTAGCTGTTAAAATTTTCCTTAGAAACAGTTTACTTTTTGCAAGGATATAGATCCAAATAATAAAATGGTTAAAATTATGCCTTCTTGTTAAGCTCGAACTGATGAAAAGGGAGGTCAAAAAAAGAAGGATCTGAAGGAACAAACACCTGAAAGAAGAGAGACAAGATCAAGAACGTTGACCACAAAATCCTCTTCCGATTCAACAGTTGTTAAAAAGAAGTTGCCGCTGCGTGATAAAATGACTGATGTATCTCTCTTTGAAAGAATGGTCATCAACAGAGAAGGGTGCATCACCTTGCAAGTTCAACACAGAATGGCACCTGAGATGGCCAAACTCATTGTTCCAACAATCTACAAAACCCTTGGGAACCACCAAATCGAAGATCGGAACGCACTGGATTCTTCTCTAACTCTCAGGTAAATGCAAATATTTATTTTAAATCATGCATTTAGTGAATGCTCTAAACCTCTTTTTTTTTGTAACGTAAAGACATTATGTACCTCTTTATATAACACATGCCTAAATTTCACTTAAATGCTTTTAATTCAGATGTGAAGGCAGTGAAGGTCATGCTGACTACAAATTTAAAGTGTCAAGCCCAATAGACTTCCAAACAGTTTCTCCTTATGGCGGCTGCAACCAGATTTGTGAAGACCAGCTCAGCTGTGGTCACCCTTGCAAGACTGTTTGTCACTTGATGCAAATCGAGCATACAAAAATCAAGTGCAATGAACCCTGTGAGAGGAAATGTGACGCTGGGCTTCACTCATGCAAGCAAAAGTGCTTCGTTAAGTGTGGATCAAGTTGCATGGAAATGGTGCAAAAGAACCTTCCCTGCGGTCACCAGGCAATGATGAGGTGTCACGCCGATGAAGAACATTTCTTCTGCACAGAAATCGTGACAAAGAAATTCCCCGAGTGCAACCACGAGGCAGAGGTTGCATGTTCTTGCAAGAGGTGTCCTCAACCCTGCGATATGAAGGCACCTTGCGGTCACAGCTGCACCAGGAAGTGCCACACGGACTCTGATCCCGACCACCTTCAATACAATTGTACCAAGCCATGCATAAAGATGAACAAGGACTGCCAATCAAATCATCCGTGCAATAAGAAATGCTGGGAGGAATGCAGTGTTTGCGAAATCCAGGTATTGCGATCTTGAGTGCATTTATTGTTAGTATCTTGCATTTAATTAAAAGGTTAATTAATTTAAATTAAACCTTATTTTGGTTTTGTCATTATGAGTAAAAGATAATATTAATGTAAAAAATAATGATTGATAATGATCTTTTATCAGGTGAAGGTAAAGAGGAGCTGTGGCCATCAATTTGTTTTAAAATGCTACATCGATCCAGAAGGAATCGAATGTCGCAACAAGTGTGCAAAATTGCTTGACTGTGGTCATCGTTGCCTAAAGAAGTGCAACATTGAATGCTTGCCCTGCACTCAGCTAGTGGGAAAGGTCATTTCGGAGTGTGGCCACTCTGCAAAGGTGCCTTGCGGTCGAGAAGCAACCAAAGAAGATTGCGCAGAGCAGTGCAAGAAGCTTCTTTCTTGCGGACACGCTTGCAAAGCCAAGTGCTCCGAAGAATGCACCCCCAATTGCCGGGAGGTTGTGGAACCGAGTGTTGGAGGGTGTGGACATAAAATCAAAACGCTCTGTCTGGAGAAGACTAAAGGCTAGCAATGCTTATTTACTTTGAATTCAGTTATTAAATTTTCTTATTACACACACAGGTTTGAAGGCTGATGTGATGAGATGCACAGCCAAATGCAATACAGTGCTAGAATGCGGACACACATGCGGAGGAACGTGCAGGACTTGTCTCCAAGGTAGATTCCACGTGCCGTGTAAGCAGAAGTGCACCAAAGAATTCCTTTGTGGTCATAAGTAATTTATAATTGAGTTTTGTGCATTGAAATTGCAAGTGATAATTTTTCTCATTTTTCTTAGGTTTCCTTCTGAGTGCAGTGAGCCATGTCCACCATGCCAAAAGAAGTACCATATTGTCTGTGACCATAATGAATCTCATGAAATTACTTGCGGACAGCCAAGAAATAAATTCTGCAAGGTATTGTATTGATCTTAACAGACTAATTATTTAAAAAAATGCTCATTGAAACTTAATTTTTCCAGCAAAAATGTTCTGCTAAATGTGACCATGGAAATAAATGTACCAGGAAGTGTGGATTGGATTGCAACTACAGCAGGTGTGAGGAAAAGTGCACCAAAACACTGCCATGCAAGCACCCTTGCTGCGGATTCTGTGGAAGCCCTTGCCCTGGCCTGTGTTGGGAGTGTGACAAGGAAGAATTGCTTCAGCACGCATTCCCTTTTGGAGCCGAGATTCCTGAGAATGCAAAGTATGCCATATTTTTTTAATATTTTAATAGAAATACTTCACTCGTGTATTTGATTTGATTTAAGATTTGTTTTACTCCCCGATTGCCATCATACTATTGAGGCAGGAGCCCTGGAAGCGTGGTTCAAGTGGCAGTCGTCACAGCTTGAAATAAAAAGTTGCCCCTTGTGCAAGAAAAAGATTTCGGCACAACTTGTGCAGTACAAGAAGGAAATTTGGGAATCATTTGTGGACTTTATCAGAATTTGTGATAAATCAAACAAAGAAGACCACATTGACGCCAAGGAATTGATGGAATGATCCTACCGACTGGGGGACCAATGTGTTGAAAGTAAATAATGCTCTTTTTGAAATAGAAAGTATATTATTTATAATTATTGTTCAATCATTTAGTTGCAGCTGGCCCATTGTTTGATTTTGGGAGGCAAATGCACTTGGAATTACTTAGAGGCCTAGAGGGAGGAAGTAGAAGCAAATAAAAGTGGAAGTCGTCAAACTGGACCAAGCTACATGTTCATCAGCCATCAATTGCCTGTGATTAAGAAAAAGATGGATGTTTTTGAAGCCATGTTAGAAATTTTCAATTCAGCGTCCTGCAAAAATTTTGCTGCTGTGAAGTCTGAAGTTGATTTCATCATTAAAATGCTCGAGGGATATTCAAAATTATGTAACCAGAATATCAGGGACTTTGCAGCCCTTCTGCTTGACTTGAAAAGGAAGGTTGAGTCTTCAAAAGAGGTCAATCTCCCTGAGGATATTATGGCAAGGCAAAGGTTGCTTTGGCAGAAATGTGGAAAGTGTGGAAACTTGGAATTTGGCCCACAGAATACAACCAAAATATGTAGCGAGTGTGATGCCACCCTGAAAATAGATCCACCCTTGTTTCCTGATCTGGACCCTTCCAAGCAGTACAACTCAAAGGGCAGGGTCAAGACCTCACGACCAATTAAGTATAATTTAAACTGACCTGTATGATCAAATAAGCTTTTGTTCTACATTCTGTCATAATTTTTATGATTGATGAATAAATAAATTTGTAATGCAAAGAAGTGCCTTTTAAATTAATTATCCATCCTATTTCAATTGCACCAAAATTGCTTTTCAATGAAAAAAAGAAGATTTTCATCATTTTCTGATCATATAACAATAAAACATGATGGGATTTAGAAAGCAAACAGATTTATATTTATAAAAGTTGTTTTAATTTTAAATAGGAGTGGTTACTTCCAGAAATTCTTAGTCTGAATCTTCTTTGACGGGCTTGTCTTCGGTTGCTGCCATCTCGTCATCCGTATCAACATCATCATCATCTTTTTTTGCCACTTTCTTGGCAGGCAACAGGTCAGCTTCAAGCTTTCTTTTCCGACTTTCAGCCTCGCTTTCCTCCTCCGCAACTTCCTCCTCACTATCAGACTCCCCTCCAGGGTGTGCCGGCACAAAGTGGTCAGGCGTGTGACCCACGACAGTGCCTGGTTTCTGCCACTCTTTCTGGGCCTCCTGTTAAAATAATGTTAAAAATCTTCATGGTTTAAAAGTAATAATGCTACCTCCATGGCTGACTTAAGTTGCTGCACTTTGTGGATGTAGAAGTCGTAGACGAATGCAGCCATTTGAGGCATGTCCTCTGCAAGCTGCGCCGATCCTTCTGGTTGCTGGTCAGCCGGACGCTCTGTTTTGTAGGTCTCTTGAGGAGCGAGATACAACTGCTGTGGCCTGGCCATCAGCTACAAATGACAATTTCATTAACTGATCAAATATTTTCATAGAACCACATACTTGTTTGAACGCCGGTGCAAGTTCGAAGCAATTCCTGAACAGAGAAACGCGTGCAAAGACGTAGAGGCCAAGCCGAGCTCTGGACATGGCGACGACCAGACGGCGGACGTCCCTCAAGTGGCCCACAGCCTTTGTCCGAACCAAGGAGAGTAAAATGAAGTTGTTCTGTTGTCCCTGATACTTGTCCACTGTTGTCACCTGTTTAAAAAAGATGATATTATTTAATTCTCTAAAAAATAAATTCATACCTTGTAAGGACGTCCAATCAATGGATTATCAGCACATCGTTGATTGATAACATCTCGAATCAAGTGCTTTTGTCCATTGTAGGTGGTTAGGATGGAGATTTTTTCAGCTGGGTATCCAATCAGGCGCATGTACATGTATGTGGCCACGACGTATTCAGCCTCAGCCAAATTCTGTGAATTAGTTGACATTAAATTAATAACTTAGTTAATTCGATTATAAAAAAGTCAAAATTTAAAAAATACCTGGTAGAAATATGGGCTTGGTTCTGATTCTCCAACACCATTGAAGTCGTCAACGTTGATGAGTAGGAAGACGTAATAGAAGCCAGGGTTTGCCAATTTATACTCTTTAGAGTTCAGGACATGAGGAAGGTTTCCAAGTTTTTTGTACCTCCAGTTGTACAAATTACAAATGCTGAAACAAAACATCATTGAAAACAAGTTAAATTTTGCCTGGCAATTCTTACCTCGGTCTTGAGCGACCCTGGCCATCCAAGTCAACTGTGGGCACTCCAAGTCGGACTATTCTGGTAAACAGAGACTGCTCCATGTTTGAATACTTCTGGAACGCCATGTTCTTGATGACAGGGGGCAGCTGATGGTGATCACCGATCATGATCCAACGTTTCAGACGGCTAAAGCCATCAGCTGGATTCTGCAGAAGCAGCGGAATGAAAGTCTCGATTTCCAAGATTTGAGCAGACTCCTCCATCAAAATGTTATCATACTTGAAGCCTGGGAAAAATATTAATTTATGATTTAACCCTGAGAGTTAAAAAAGGTATTTAAATTTTACCTAAATCCACAAGCTCTTTTCGTTTGAGGGCAGCATGAGTACAAGTCATGGCAATAATTTTTGCCTCCTTGACGAGCAAATATTTTGAACGGTCTAATCCACTTCTCAGCAACTCAAATGCCCGGAACTCGTCGAGTTGAGTAAAGATCTTCTCAATGTATCTGAAGCAGCCCTCAGCTATGTCCATGTCCTCTTCGTACGACTCTCCCTTGAATAAATTTGGAACGTCGTTGAAAAACCTGGTGAAAGGAAACTCGTCCTTGATTGCGCCAACAGCAACAACCTGAAATTTTCATTCGAAGAGTTTGCTTGACAGATTAAACCATTCATACTTTTCCGTCAGTGTGCTTGACTTTGCTGAGAAACTCCTCCCAACGAGCCAGGACGTGGTACAAAAAGAAATACCCAGCAGTCTCACAAGTGTACGCTACGTCACCAGGAACATTCAAGCTCTCTTGCAGCATCTGCACATCCTTCAATAGCTCCAATCTCTTTGCCAGCACGTAATTCACGCGACCATATCTGCAAGAATATTTTTTCAAAGTGGATAAGTGGAACTAATAAAGTTTCAATCTCAAATTACATACCTGGCTGAAAAAACATTTTTAGAAATGGGGTCGCAGATCGCAGACCGACATGCATAATTTGCAAGGTAGAGCCGTTTAATGGTTTAATAAATTTTTTTGCATTGTTAATACATATAGTAAGAATTTTTAAAACGAAGAAAAGCCCGATCTCTTCACTTCCATGAACACAAACAAAACAATAGTAAAACAAAAAAATGCCGAGATAGAAGATCGATCAGAAAAATGCAACGTCGACCTGACATTGGCAACATCGCGTCCCGCAACCCGAGCTCCACTCTCTGCTGATCTGCGACGCCGGACTCTGGCAAAAATCGTCAAAAGCCGTCTCCAGTAACTCGGCATTCGACACGGACTCACGGAGTTGGATTTATTGCGACCAGAATCGACAGTCGACAACCTTATAGCGCCCCAAGAAAAAGCAAAACAAAGCGTTCTCTCTTCATTTTATATTATTGCGTTCATCCATTTTTAGCAGGGAAGTACATAGAAAGACGTAAAAAGTGCCGAGCTGCCGCGATCATCAAGCAAAATGCTGCAGTTTGTAGAAAACAATTGAGCATATCAACAGACGAGCGCTCTATAGCTAGGATTTCAGGTAATTAATTCATACATATCAAATTTAAACTCTACCATTAAAGATAATTTGCAAAAATAAAGAGGTGCGTGAGAATCGTTTAGACTGAATTCTTTCTAATTTGGACTAATATTATATTCAAACGTTAAGGCGAGCTAGAGCTAGTATGTACCTCGTACAAATTGTACATACATCATACATCCAATTTACATAAATAATGTGGTTGTAACTTTTTTTCACTGAAATTATGCTCGACCTCTCGTGTTCGACACATCAGGTTATTTCACGATCTTAATCCGCATCTAAACGTCACTCCATATATGTTTTAATTATTGCTTGGAGCGCGTGCACAAGAGAATTGCATTAATTTTACTAATTTAGAGTTGATATTAGAGGAATTATGTGCAATTACGTTTTATTTATTGTATCGAAACCTCAAGAAAGTGGTTTCCTCGTTCTTGGATGCCTCGTTCATTGATGCCTAGCATGTTGTTTACAAACTACAAAGTTGGTTTTTCACCAAAATGCTATCCCATCCCATATCCCATCGCTCTCCCAAATTTGGACCATCGTCTGGCAAATTGGCAATTTAAACTCTTTATTCATCCATTTTATTACAAAAAAAATCTATAATTTCATGCAAATATATTTTAGTAATAATCAATTTTCCATTCTCCCCTTTATAAATTTTAGAATGCAAATTTATGAAATAAATAACAAATTTGTCATGCGTTGTCGATGTGTATTTAGTTTTTCTCCATAATATTTTCTTTTTCTAATATTCTTTAAAACTTGAGCTCCACAATCAGGAGCACAATAATTTTTCTAATAATAACCTTCATGGCAGACAGAATGTAAAATATTTTATTCCAACAGATTGACAATGGAGGAAAGTGAGAAGCCGAATTTGCCACCGCCGGCCAAGCGGCGCCGGGTGGAAAGAAATAATTCATCAGCAGTTTGGAAAACTCAGGCAGCAGCTCTGGCTGCTCACAATCTGAAAACATCAACACCCTGGAGTGGAGCATCCGCATCCAGTCGCCCTCACCAGTCTGCTCGCAGTTCTGGAGGATTAGGTAAGAATAAAATGAAAACATATATTTGTAAAATGTTATGAAAAAACTTTAAAAATATAAACAGAAAAATAATTTGATATATGATGAACGATCACATGTCTTATAGTAAAAGGAAGCTGTCTGAATTACTTAAACATTGCATTTTGAATTTAATGGTAAATTAAATTTGAAAATAAAGCAAAACTTAGCAAATGTTTTCACAAATATATTGGTATTTTAGAGCAACTTCAATTTTAGTATAAAAAGAGCCACTGAAGTATGTTTTGTACCAACATTATTATTAAGTTGTGGAGCTTCCTGCGTAAAAACTGGCATAGTAACTTTTATACAGATGCGAATTAAAAATAATAGCATGTGAAAGTGATATTTATTAAAATTTAAAGGAATAATCACAAATTTTGTAATAATTCAGCTTAAAATATTCACACTCCACACTTTTTTTAGTTAGTGGATCAATGTCAAGAAACAGATCTGATGTTGGGAGACACAATGTTCAGGAGGCAAGGCAGAAGGAAAAAAACTTTGCTGAAACTCTGCAGGAACTAGTGGATCTACAGAGCTTTCAGGTAAATATTGATTGTAAACTGTAAATCATGCAACCTGCTAGGCACATGTGTTGTGCGGGTTTGTATTAATTATTTTGACAGGGGTTTAAAATATTACAAAATTTAGCAATTTTTTAATTTTTTATTTTATGCTTGCAATGGGTTTTATAATGCATGATTCTTATGTTTTATACTTCAGGTTGTAAAACAGCTTGCTGAGAGAAGTGACCAGTGGGATGCCTTTGTCAAGAGTGAGATGAATCTTTCTGACTTTCAACTTGTTCTTCGCATCATTCGAAAGGTCTGCGAATCAGATTTTGACCAACACAAGGCCATGCTGGTCAACCAAACATGCCACCCTGACTTCATGAATTGCTTTCCAACAATGCTGCTGAACGGTTCGATGAAAGACCACGCAACCTTTACTCAAGTGGCAGAAAACATTGCGCTGTTCTTCACAACCTTGGTGGAGATGTTGCCAATCACAGCAGCAGGGCTGAAGAAAACCGTCGAATGCTGCTTTGTCAGTCTGAATGGCATCAGCAGTAGTCAAGACTGTGTCCAGGTTGCACCCGAGTTGCTGCAAAAATACCAGGGTTTGGTCGGTCACGTAGAAGCTCTGCAGGTGAACGCCCCAAAGAAGCCAACTTGGCACGACCGGCGAATGGAACAAGTGGAGAAAATGAAGTACGAGCAGCCGCCGAACGACTTCAGGGAAATCAGCATTTATCCCACCTTTGAAGATGTCATCAACCCTCAGCGGCCCTTCCTGAGGCCGAACGTGATCAACGGTCCGTACTTTGATGTTGAACACTACCTGGACACACAGTACCGTCTGCTGCGAGAAGATTTTGTCCGGCCTCTTCGAGAGGGAGTGCAGGACATTCTCAAAGGCACCGACAGCAAGAAGTGCGAGTCACTGTCGGTCAGAGTATACAAGGATGTGCAGTTCATCAAATATGTGAAGGAAATTGATGGCACAAGAGTGCTGAATGAAGGCACTTTGCTGTGTTTTGATACATCAACAAATAGCAGACGTTTCGAGAGGACCAACTGGGAGCAAACCAAGAAGTTCATGCACGGCGCCCTGCTCTGTTTCACTCGAAACTGCTTCCAGACACTTCTCTTTGCCACAGTCAGCAGCCGAGATGTGAAGTTTCTTAGGCAGAAGCAAATCTTGGTGACCTTTTGCGAGAAGTACGATGAAAACATTTACGATAAGAATGCCAAATACACCATGATTGAGAGTGAAGTTTTCTTTGAGCCTTATTACCAGGTGACTTGCAATAACATTTGTATTATTTTTTGTGTAAATGTAAAATTAAATATTTTACAGGTTCTTGGAACTCTGAAGAATCTGAATGATCTGAACTTTCCATTCCCAAAATACTTCATTGATGTGCAAAAAGATGATGCACCTCCAGCATATTTGCTTGATGGTGAAAAACCTGTGGAGATTGAAGTTAAAGGCATGAAAGGTTCATGCAAGCTAACCATCTTGAAGGAAGCAACTTGGCCAAGTTCCGACCAACTGGGTTTGGATAACTCCCAGTACAATGCTTTGAAAGCCGCTTTGACAAAAGAGTTTGCAGTAATCCAAGGACCGCCTGGCACTGGCAAGACTTTTATGGCTCTGAAAATTGCGGAAATCCTGATCCAGAACAGAAAGGTCATGAATAGAAAAACTCCCATTCTAGTCGTTTGTCTCACAAATCACGCGCTTGACCAGTTTTTGGTTGGAATGCTGAAGTTTACCAAGCGTTTGGTGCGCATTGGTGGTCAATCAAAATGTGAAGAGTTGGATGCATACAATATGAAGAAAATGCGCCTCCCACGTTCGCAAAAGCAATATGACATTCGAGATGCTCTCTCTAAGGCTTACTTAAAGCTGGCTGAACTTGACAAGGAAATTGCTGACTTGAATGTGGCCATTGAATTGAGGAAAGGATTTGTCATTCCTACAAATAATACCCGAGCGATTCCCAGTGTACTGAATTCTAGTACTGCAAGAGATCTCATGTTGGACGAGTTCTCTGAAAGCTTAAAATATGTTTCATTCAAGGACATACGAGAAAGAGTTTGGCACTGGATTGATGGAAACTTGAGAGATATTGAAAAACATGAAGCATACAAGGATCTTTCTTGGGAGGAAAAACAGTTCCACGTTCAGTTTATCAGAGAAAAAGGCCGGTACTTTACCGATGAGATTGAGAATTTGGAGTTCAGTGCTGCTGAAGTAGAGGTTGTTGGTTTGCATCGAGGAAAGGAACTTGCAGAAGATTGGAGGAAATGGAACAACATGAACATGGTTGACCTATTAGAGCTTCATTACTTTGAGCTGCAAAATGAGTTGTTGAAACACAAGAGGAAAAGAGGAATGCTTGTTGATGAGATCACTGAGAAGAGCAAAATGCTGGAAGAGTTGAGGAGCATGGAAAATGTTAATGAATTGAGAACTAAGGATGTTATTGGTCTTACAACCAATGGTGCTGCAAGGCTTCATTCCATGCTAAATTCTTTGGGTTGTGAAATTGGTAAAATTTGTTAAGACAATTTTTTTTATCTACTAAAATTGAAGTGATTTTTTTTTAGCTATCATTGAAGAAGCAGCTGAAGTAATGGAACCACACATTGTGTCCTGTCTCTCTAAAAGATGCAAACATCTAATTTTGATTGGTAAAATGTTTGTAAATATAAAAATTTTATTTTTCCTGCATTTTTTAACAATTAAAGGTGACCACAAGCAGCTGCGTCCTAAGATTTCTGAGTACGAGCTGGGAAAGTTCTACAATTTTGACGTGTCTCTCTTCGAAAGAATGGTCATCAACAGAGAAGGGTGCATCACCTTGCAAGTTCAACACAGAATGGCACCCGAGATGGCCAAACTCATTGTGCCAACAATCTACAAAACCCTTGAGAACCACCAAAGTGTCTTTGACAGGCCCAAATTGAAAAGCTTGACACAAAGGCTTTCATTTGTCACCCATTCTGAACCTGAACATCAAGTATTTTATACAAAATACAAACTATATGCCTCTATCAAAGATTTTTCAGGACAGGGAAAACTTTAGTAGAACAAATCCACATGAAGCTTCCTATCTAATTTCTCTTTGCCAACATTTGCTGAAACAAGGATACACAGCAAATCAAATCACCATCTTGGCTACATACAAGGGACAAATGTTTCTGATCAAACAGGTACCCTTGTATAAATCACATCACAAAGAAAAATTATTAATGAGCTTAAATTTAGATGATCAAATCAATTAAAACTGATTCCTCTAAAGAGAAAGGATTGATTGATGTGAGAGTGTCTGTGGTGGATGACTTTCAAGGCGAAGAAAATGACATCATCCTCCTCTCCCTTGTCAGGAGCAATGCAGAGGGAAGAATTGGATTTTTAGCAACTGAGAACAGAGTCTGCGTAGCTTTGTCGAGGGCCAAACAAGGCTTTGTCATGATTGGAAACATGGAAATTCTCTCAGAAAAAAGTCAAATCTGGACAGCTGTACGCAGATCCATTGAGGAACAGTGTGCTTTACATTCCTTTCTGAACATCAGGTACATTTTTTCCAGTCTTCTACTATGAGCTTAACAATATAATTCAGGAAATACGCTTTATTAAATATAATGAAATTGTGACTTTTAAATGTTAAATGGAAAATAAATTGGAAAAAATACTGAATAATCTTCGAATAATAATTATAGGTGTGAGGTTCATCCAGATAAAAAATTCAAAGTGTCAAGCGCAATAGACTTCCAAACACTTTCTCCTTATGGCGGCTGCAACCAGATTTGCGAGGGCCAGCTTAACTGTGGTCATCCTTGCAAGACTGTTTGTCACTTGATGCAAATCAAGCATGAAGAAATCAAGTGCGATGAACCCTGTGAGAGGAAATGTGACGCTGGGCTTCACTCATGCAAGCAAAAGTGCTTCGTTAAGTGTGGATCAAGTTGCATGGAAATGGTTCAAAAGAACCTTCCGTGCGGTCACCAGGCAATGTTGAGATGTCATGCGGATGAAGAACATTTCTCCTGCACAGAAATCGTGACAAAGAAATTCCCTGAGTGCAACCACGAGGCAGAGGTTGCATGTTCTTGCAAGAGGTGTCCTCAACCCTGCGACATGCAGGCACCTTGCGGTCACAGCTGCACCAGGAAGTGCCACACGGACTCTGATCCCGACCACCTTCAATACAATTGTACCAAGCCATGCATAAAGATGAACAAGGACTGCAGATCAAATCATCCGTGCAATAAGAAATGCTGGGAGGAATGCAGTGTTTGCGAAATCCAGGTATTGCGATCTTGAGTGCATTTATTGTTAATATCTTGCATTTAATATCAGGGTTTACATGAATTAAACCTGATTAGTTGCCATTTTAAAATATTTGAAAAAAATAATATAAATAATAATTGTAATGAAAAAAAAATAATCTTTTATCAGGTGTTAGCAAAGAGGAGCTGTGGCCATCAGTTTAACTTAAAATGTCACATTGACCCCGAGAGAATTAAGTGTCGCGAATGGTGTGCAAAAATGCTCGACTGTGGACACCATTGCTTAAAAAAGTGCAACATTGAATGCTCGCCCTGCACTCAGCTAGTGGGAAAGGTCATTTCAGAGTGTGGCCACTCTGCAAAGGTGCCTTGCGGTCGAGAAGCAACCAAAGAAGATTGCGCAGAGCAGTGCAAGAAGCTTCTTTCTTGCGGACACGCTTGCAAAGCCAAGTGCTCCGAAGAATGCACCCCCAATTGCCGGGAGGTTGTGGAACCGAGTGTTGGAGGGTGTGGACATAAAATCAAAACGCTCTGTCTGGAGAAGACTAAAGGCTAGCAATGCTTATTTACTTTGAATTCAATTATTAAATTTTCTTATTACACACAGGTTTGAAGGCTGATGTGATGAGATGCACAGCTAAATGCAATACTGTGCTAGAATGCGGACACACATGCGGAGGAACGTGCAGGACTTGTCTCCAAGGCAGATTCCACGTGCCTTGCAAGCAGAAGTGCTCCAAAGAGTTCATTTGTGGTCATAAGTAATTTATAATTGAGTGTACTGTGCAACAGTTGATAATTTCTTATTATTCATAGGTGTCCTTCCAAGTGCAGTGAGCCATGTCCACCATGCCAAATGAAGAACCACATTGTCTGTGACCACAATGAATCTCATGAGATTACTTGTGGAAAGCTAAGAAATAAATTCTGCAAGGTATTGTATTGATCTTAACAGACTAGTTATTTACGAAATGCTCATTAAAATTTTTCCAGCAAATATGTTCTGCTAAATGCGACCATGGAAATAAATGTACCAGGAAGTGTGGATTGGATTGCAATTACAGCAGGTGTGAGAAAAAGTGCACCAAAACACTGCCATGCAAGCACCCTTGCTGCGGATTCTGTGGAAGCCCTTGCCCTGGCCTGTGTTGGGAGTGCGACAAGGAAGAATTGCTTCAGCATGCATTCCCGTTGGGAGCCGAGATTCCTGAGAATGCAAAGTATGCCATATTTTTTTAATATTTTAATAGAAATACTTCACTCGTGTATTTGATTTGATTTAAGATTTGTTTTACTCCCCGATTGCCATCATACTATTGAGGCAGGAGCCCTGGAAGCGTGGTTAAAGTGGCAGTCGTCACAGCTTGAAATAAAAAGTTGCCCCTTGTGCAAGGAAAAGATTTCGGCACGACTTGTGCAGTACAAGAAGGAAATTTGGGAACCATTTGTGGACTTTATCAGAATTTGTGATGAATCGAACAAAGAAGACCACATTGACGCCAAGGAATTGATGGAACGATCCTACCGACTGGGGGACCAATGTGTTGAAAGTAAATAATGCTCTTTTTGAAATAAAAAGTTTATTTTGTATAATTATTGTTCAATCATTTAGTTGCAGCTGGCCCATTGTTTGATTTTGGGAGGCAAATGCACTTGGAATTACTTAGAGGCCTAGAAGGAGGAAGTAGAAACAACAAAAGTGGAAGTCGTCAAACTGGACCAAGTTACATGTTTGTCAGCCATCAATTGCCTGTGATTAAGAAAAAGGTGGATATTTTTGAAGCCATGCTAGAAATTTTCAAATCAGCGTCCCGCAAAAGTTTTGCTGCTGTAAAGTCTGAAGTTGATTTCATCATTAAAATGCTTGGGGGATATTCAAAATTATGTAACCAGAATATCAGGGACTTTGCAGCCCTTCTGCTTGACTTGAAAAGGAAGGTTGAGTCTTCAAAAGAGGTCAATCTCCCTGAGGATATTATGGCAAGGCAAAGGTTGCTTTGGCAGAAATGTGGAAAGTGTGGAAACTTGGAATTTGGCCCACAGAATACAACCAAAATATGTAGCGAGTGTGATGCAACCCTAACAATTGTTCCACCCTTGTTCCCTGATCTGGACCCTTCCAAGCAGTACAACTCAAAGGGCAGGGTCAAGACCTCACGACCAATCAAGTATAATTGAAACTGACCTGTATGATCAAATAAGCTTTTTACATTCTGTCATAATTTTTACGATTGATGAATAAATAAATTTGTATTGCAAAGAATTGCCTTTTAAATTAATTATCCATCCTATTTCAATTGCACAAAATTAGCTTTTTAATGATAAATAGAAGATTTTTATCATTTTCTGATAATATAATAACCACACAGATGATGAGATTAAGAAAGCAAACAGGTTTATAATTATAAAAGTTGTTTTAATTTTAAATAAAAGTGGTTACTTCCATAAATTCCTAGTCTGAATCTTCTTTGACAGGTTTGTCTTCGGTTGCTGCCATCTCGTCATCCGTATCAACATCATCATCATCTTTTTTTGCCACTTTCTTGGCAGGCAACAGGTCAGCTTCAAGCTTTCTTTTCCGACTTTCAGCCTCGCTTTCCTCCTCTGCAACCTCCTCCTCACTATCAGACTCCCCTCCAGGGTGTGCCGGCACAAAGTGGTCAGGCGTGTGACCCACCACAGTTCCTGGTTTCTGCCACTCTTTCTGGGCCTCCTGTTAAAATAATTCATGTTAAAAATCTTCATGGTTTAAAACGTAATAATGCTACCTCCATGGCTGACTTAAGTTGCTGCACTTTGTGGATGTAGAAGTCATAGACGAATGCAGCCATTTGAGGCATGTCCTCTGCAAGCTGCGCCGATCCTTCTGGTTGCTGGTCAGCCGGACGCTCTGTTTTGTAGGTCTCTTGAGGAGCGAGATACAACTGCTGCGGCCTGGCCATCAGCTACAAATGACAATTTCATTAACTGCTTAAATATTTTCATAGAACCTCATACTTGTTTGAACGCCGGTGCAAGTTCGAAGCAATTCCTGAACAGAGAAACGCGAGCAAAGACGTAGAGGCCAAGCCGAGCTCTGGACATGGCGACGACCAGACGGCGGACGTCCCTCAAGTGGCCCACAGCCTTTGTCCGAACCAACGAAAGTAAAATGAAGTCGTTCTGTTGTCCCTGATACTTGTCCACTGTTGTCACCTGTTTAAAAAAGATGATATTATTTAATTCTCTAAAAAATAAATTCATACCTTGTAAGGACGTCCAATCAATGGATTATCAGCACATCGTTGATTGATAACATCTCGAATCAAGTGCTTTTGTCCATTGTAGGTGGTTAGGATGGAGATTTTTTCAGCAGGGTATCCAATCAGGCGCATGTACATGTATGTGGCCACGACGTATTCAGCCTCAGCCAAATTCTGTGAATTAGTTGACATTAAATTAATAACTTAGTTAATTTGAAAGTAATTATAAAAAAGTCAAAATTTAAAAAATACCTGGTAGAAATATGGGCTTGGTTCTGATTCTCCAACACCATTGAAGTCGTCAACGTTGATGAGTTGGAAGTCGTAATAAAAGCCAGGGTTTGCCAATTTGTACTCTTTAGAGTTCAGGACATGAGGAAGGTTTCCAAGTTTTTTGTACCTCCAGTTGTACAAATTACAAATGCTGAAACAAAACATCATTGAAAACAAGTTAAATTTTGCCTGGCAATTCTTACCTCGGTCTTGAGCGACCCTGGCCATCCAAGTCAACTGTGGGCACCCCAAGTCGGACTATTCTGGTAAACAGAGACTGCTCCATGTTTGAATACTTCTGGAACGCCATGTTCTTGATGACAGGGGGCAGCTGATGGTGATCACCAATCATGATCCAACGTTTCAATCGGCTAAAGCCATCAGCTGGATTCTGCAGAAGCAGCGGAATGAAAGTCTCGATCTCCAAGATTTGAGCAGACTCCTCCATCAAAATGTTATCATACTTGAAGCCTGGGAAAAATATTAATTTATGATTTAACCCTGAGAGTTAAAAAAGGTATTTAAATTTTACCTAAATCCACAAGCTCTTTTCGTTTGAGGGCAGCATGAGTACAAGTCATGGCAATAATTTTTGCCTCCTTGACGAGCAAATATTTTGAACGGTCCAATCCACTTCTCAGCAACTCAAATGCCCGGAACTCGTCGAGTTGGGTAAAGATCTTCTCAATGTATCTGAAGCAGCCCTCAGCTATGTCCATGTCCTCTTCGTACGACTCTCCCTTGAATAAATTTGGAACATCGTGGAAAAACCTGGTGAAAGGAAACTCGTCCTTGATTGCGCCAACAGCAACAACCTGAAACTTTTCATTCGAAGAGTTTGCTTGACAGATTAAACCATTAATACTTTTCCATCAGTGTGCTTGACTTTGCTGAGAAACTCCTCCCAACGAGCCAGGACGTGGTACAAAAAGAAATACCCAGCAGTCTCACAAGTGTACGCTACGTCACCAGGAACATTCAAGCTCTCTTGCAGCATCTGCACATCCTTCAATAGCTCCAATCTCTTTGCCAGCACGTAATTTACACGACCATATCTGCAAGAATAATTTTTCAAAGTGGAACTAATAAAGTTTAAATTTCAAATTACCTGCTGAAATCTTTTTCCGTTTCAAGAGCCTCTTCACCGTGACCAAGACGAAGAAGATGTCTTTCGTCAACGTCGAGGGCCATGATTTTTTCAAACAGCTGATTCAACGCCTGGTTAGAGTGGGTGACGATGAGAGTGCGTTGTGATGGGAAGTTGTGGTAAATATTGGAGATGATCTGCACTGCAACGTCCGTTTTGCCCGTGCCAGGAGGTCCGACCACCATAGTCAAACCTGGTTGCATTCCCGAGCGAATTGCTTCTACTTGTGTGGCAGTGAATGGAATCGCATTTCTTAAATTTTATATTAGGTAATTATTCACATCAAATACCAAAACTCCAAATACTTTTTAACTTTGCTGGAGGGGTAAGGTCCTCTGTTCGGAATTTTGTGTGGCTCGACGGTGACGACATTGCTCCTTTTGCGTGGTGGCTCTTCGTCTTTCTCTAATGCCTGTCTCTTAATATTCACATCCTCAAATGTTAATCTGTCAATAGAAAAGACGTTTTCCTATCTGATATACAATTTTTGAAGATTGCTTACTTAAAAGGAGGAACTAATTTTTGAGGTTCGTCCGTCTTGACTTTGATTGTATAGTCGGGAAAGCTGGATTTCAAGTGATCCATGTCGAGGAATGTATCGTTGAAGTCCAAAGTTGGTATCTCGTTGGGCATTCTGGAGTAGTGAGCAGCACCAGGGTCGCCATAGCCGAGAATAATGTCATGCAGCCAGTCTGGCACTACACATTCTGTGTTCATCAACTCGCGGATTGTCTCCAGTACTGCTTTGAAGTTGTTCTCTTTTGGTTTTCTTCTCATTAAAATATTGAAACACTGATATACGTCCTACATATGAATGAATTATAATTTGATTATTAATAAATAAATGATTTTGTTTTCACCTCCTCATTATCGTTTGCAACATCAGTATCGATGCGGTACTGATTGCAGTCGAGCCACACTCTGAAGGTTCTTTTGTCACCCTGTAGTTCAGGTTTCGGTTCTGGCCCATCCTCGATGATTCGTCCGTTTTCATCGAGCATGCCTTCTATCTCGCAGCCTCTCACATATTTCAATCCAACTTGCGGAATAAATGGTTGAGTGTGTGTTATTTTTGTACCTGTGTTGTCCATGGTAAATAATTATTGAAAGAGAAACTTGAACAAACCAATTGTATTTGTTGGCTGCACACAGACCAAGAAGCAAGCATCGTGCTTCCTCAGATTTTCCCATTCGCTTTTGATCTCGCGCCTGACGTTCAAATGAACCGTCACATCAGCTCGGACACGGGCTGGTCGTTTCTCGCCTATAATCAATACTTATTAAGAGAAAGCGCAATTGTGCAAACAACGCTGTTTACCTATATTTGGTCTGGCAACTTCAACTACAGTAAAGCCAATGATTGGTTGTGCCATTCGAGCCCAGCCACCAAAATACACTCCGCCATCTTCCGATTGCCTGGTTAACAAATAAAATATCTGTAAGCTTAAGCTCTAATAAAATCATTTGATAAGATTACCATGGACTAAGTCTTGACACGGCATCCTCAATGTCTTGTCTGATCTCATCTACAAACAGTTCTTTCATTAACATGTGTTATTTTAATTTCATCAGGATTAGTTTCTCACATGTTGACTCAAGACGGAATAGATTAAAATTCCTCAGCAAATAGTCATGCAGCGTAAGAAATTGCAAGTTTAGCTTTGGCAAGGCTAAGCAGCCCTCTCCGGAGAAGTATTCCGTCGGAACGATGTTTTCATTCCAGATCACATCTTCGGTTGGGTAAAGCGGCATTTCATTTAGCGCTTGAAGTTGAGAAGAACGTCGCTCATTGCGCGAGACCTAAATTTAGCTCAGAATGTAACCTTGTATGAATCAAAGTCATCTTTACTACTCACAAGAAGCTCAAGAAGAAACTTTTGATCTAATCGCATCCAGTCATTATCACCGGTCAACTTTATTGGGGTCAGGTTCAAGTGGTTTGCAATTTGCTGCAACATGTTTTCCCTGTAAGAAAATAAATATTTGTTAGGCATATTTGTTATTTTGAGCCAACTCAATTGATCAAAGTTTGCTTACTCAAGAGGTTTGAAGTGCTTCAGGAGCGCCTCTCTTGTGTCCACATTTGCAACATTGGACAGAGCAAAGTCCCGTAGATCTGGGAATTTGGCAAAAGCGGCTTTCTGCAAACAATTCATTTTTATGTAATTGAAATTCGGAGACTAAAATTATTTTCAAAAATAAAATGAAAAAAATTGAATAAATCAAAACCAAAATAATAATACCTGCAATGAGGTAATTCTGGAGTAGTGAATTTGGGTCATATCGTGGTCTGTTAACGGGTCTCCGGTTTCATCGTTTATCTCAAAGTTGGCGTAGAATTCCAGCATCTCCAGCAACTGAAACATTAAAAATTAACCCATCATAAGATTATTGCAAAAACCAACAAATTATAAAAAAAAAGTATAACAAGAACCAGCAAAAAAATTAATTGAAATTTGGCATTCAAACCGAAAAGATACAAAAGTTTTTTTTTAATTTAATATTAAATATTAAATACTTTTTTTTTAAATTTATTCTTCAGCATGGTCTAACGCGCCCTCTGCTACCAAGATCTACAAGCAAACTCAAATAACCGTAAGCCTGCTTTGAGCGCCACTACAATACAATTCATCAGTTTGCTTTCAGCACTCGTAAAGGACAGTTAGCTCGATGCGTCGTTTTCTTGCGTGTGTGTAAAGTGAGCGTGAAATTTAAGGACATGAGGTTGCTGTGTTTAGTCGGCGTGCTCACCTTGTTGGCGGCAAATTCATTATCTCAAGATCCACTGGAGCATTTTAGCTCGAGGTGCTGTCCGATCGGCGAGTACCTCGGACACGACAATACAAAATGCGTTCGAGCGGATGAGACAGAGACCGGGACAAAAATTTACAGACCGGATTGCAACCACGGAATGTATTTATTGAACCCAAACGTCAACTTGGAAGACTTATTTACCGAGAGAAGTGAAACGGGGGATCTGGAGCTTTTGGAGCTTCTGTCCGAAGAGGTCGACGACCCGGTCATGAATGGGACGTATGTATTTATTGACAAGAGGAAGGAAAAGTTTTACGGTCAAAGCTAATGGGAAATGGATTGGATCAATTTTTGCAATTGATAAAATTGATCGAGAGTCAGATTGGGTTCAAGGCTCAAGTTGAATTCAATTTTGATAGGGTTCAAAAGCACGCGTGCTCCATTTTTTAAACTTCTGTAATGGTAATTCCACACGGAAAGTTTTACAAAATGAACATAATTTATTGAGCTTTTATGGTGTTTGAGCCTTGCAAAAAGATAAAAGTGTTAGCAAACAAAGAAGATCTTCAAGTGATACGTTGATAAGAGCCTTGAGTGTCTTTCCTTAGCAATTAACATCATTTGTTTGAGATGTTTTTAATATTTTGTTCCATCAATTAGTCCATTTGCATGCTCGACGCTTACATATTTCATTTTAATCTAATCAGAATAACTTGAAAAAAGAAGCAACAATTTACTTCGACAGAAAATTGCACTTAGTAAGTTAGTTACTTGCGATATTGTTGAATTAATCGTAGGAAAAAAATGTACAGCAAAATATTAAAATTTGCTTATTACGTTTTCTTAAATTGCAAATAAATTGTTACTTAAGTTTCTTTGTTCAATTAATTTACTAAAAAAACCATTAACATGAAGTTATTTATGTTTCTTCGGGGCAAAATAACTTGATTGTAGGACATATCATGGTTTTGATTGATGTTTCAGGTTTTTAAAATTTTTGACAATACCGACGAAAATCACTTTTTTTTATTAAACCAGTATTTTCTCAAAAACGGCAAAAATAGCAATTCTGAAAATGACAGGGATGACGTAAAATTTGACGGGCTACATTTTTTCCTGTACCACCAAAAAAATCGGAGGGGGCCATCATCGTCTTTTTTGAGGTCTCAAGGCGAGGAGGTCACTCTAGACATCCACCTTTGTAAAATAAGATAAGGTTAATTTTTTTGTCCAGTGCCCTCTCAATCTCGCTCGGAAATGATAAATCGTATTAATGGTTTTGATACCAGTGCAATTAAAAAAAAGTCCCAAGCCAACAGTTCTGAAAAAAAATGGCATTCATTATTTGCAGATGGTGTGCCGCAAACCCGCTTCCCAGGCTTGGCAATTTGACAGTGGCTCTCGTGTGTTTCGAGGATGAAACTGAATACTCATCTGGAGCAGTCCACGTTGTTTACGGAATTTGCATTTTCATTTCGTGCATTTTTTTCGCACTGACCCTGGCAGTTTACGTCGTTCTGCCCGAACTGCGGGACACACAAGGCCTCTGTCTGATGGCAAACATCCTCAGCTTGATCTTTGGCTATTTTATGCTGTCCATTATACAACTATTTGGCGAAAGCATGGACGACGATGCTTGCGTCTTTTCAGGTAATTAGCATGGCTTGCTTCTGACGGAAATTTGCTTCAAAGTTTACGAGAAGAGCGTTTTATTTCAAGCTCATGAGAAAGGTCTTCATTTCTCTTTAAGAGTGAAGATTTTTTTATAAATTTTTATATAAATTCCCACGCAAAAACCACTTTATTCAACAACATGCAAAATAATGCTGGGATAATTATTTTAAAAGAAATGCGGAGGATATTTTAAAATTTCTTTTAAAATTTCAGCGTTCTTTTTGTATTACTGGCTGTTGTCTGCCTTCTTTTGGCTCGGCGTTGTCTCTTTCAACGTCTGGAGGAATATTGTGTAAGTATTAAAAATCAAAATCTCTATATATAGAAATTCAATCGCATTTTAAACGTCAAATTATTAGATAAAAATTTGAGTACCAAAAATTACTATTTTCAAGAATTATATTTTTTTTTATTAATTGAGCTGAAGAAAACTTTCAAAGTTTATTTTTTTAATATATGGATTCAGTTCAGATAATACCGCAGTTTGGTCTGATGCAAAGCAAATTCGAATTGCATCTCACGTGCGACCACAAGATTGCTTTGCAGTTTGCACAAGCATTTTAATGAAAATGAGACGCGATAGAAGAATTACGCAGTTTTTATGGCGTTTTTCCTTCTCATACCTGAAGTGCAATTAAGGACAGGAAAACGACATATTATCGCGTAGACGTATTTTCCAAGAATTTATTGAGTATGCAAGTAATTTAGATTCACAAACAATAAAAACTTGGAATGGAAAGAGGCTTGGTCTGAAACCATCACAATGGGAGTTTGTTTGTGTCAAAAGTACCGTACATGAACGCTGAGTGAAATGTGAGAAAGGGATCAAGCTGCTTTTGAAAATGCAACGCAGCACTTTTGTGACTCTCAGACGAGCGTCAAATATAATGTTGCGCGGAAAACGTCTGGAATTTTAAACACCAGCATGTGGGAAATTACAAACCATCTCATTTATCACGAGTCAGCAAAAATTTAAATTCCAACCACGACTTTCGCAAATGCTTGGAATATCAAAATAGCTTACGTAACCCAATCTTTCGAACCAACGAAAAACTGCGTAAAATTTTACAGGAATGCACGCGATCTCAAATTTCGGAACGATTTTTTATTATTAACCAATTCGGGTTTCAGAACGAAGAGTCCTAACAAAAATGTACTTTGTTTAAGAAATTTATTTATCTAAAAATGACAGCAGATTTAGCATAAAACTTGTTTTCTGTGATCGCACGAGATCGACTTCCTTTTTGCGATTTTGTCCTTCCTTGAAATTTGGAAAATATTTTTGGCCCAAATTAAAATAATAAAAATATAAATTTTGAGTAATTCAAGCAATTAATTAAATTATTAAAAATTCAAATCCGCAATTTTGTGCACGGTAAAGCAATTTTTGATGCAAGGAAAATTTTGAAGATAAATAAATAAATCAAATCGAGTTCAAATAAAATAATGATGATATACGCATAATTAATACAATTATTTATAAGAAAATTTTGGAATTTTTTCAAGGAATTCGTCCCGAGGCTGCTGCAATCCAAGTGGTAAACGCAAGTTCATCGCCTACACACTCTACGGATGGGGAGGTCCGCTAATTTTGCTTTTGGTGATCGTCGCGGCCCATTATGCGCCCGAAGACTACAAGTCCCTTTACAGACCTAGATTTGGCCATAGCAGTTGCTGGTTCCACGGTAAATATGTATAAATAACTTTTGCTTTCCTCAATTAAGAATTCAAATATTATACTGAGCGTGGGCGTGGACGCAAAACTAACTTGCATTCGGGGTGGAGTCGGTGAAGGTGCACCAACCTTGATTGCTCAGACAATGGGCTTGGCATTAATGCGCAGTAAGCTTGGCAAAAGTTGGAGTAATCAATGAATATGTAAGACTTTTCAATCAAGCAGATTGGCCACATTGTAATTTTTTCAAAGGGTTTAAGAGGATTTCAGCAGCTACATTTTTAAGAGTTAAATTGAAAGTTAGAAAACGCGTTTTTTTTTGCATTTCGCTCGTTTCTGAGATAATCAAAAGTTTCAGTTAAGCAAAAGTTAAAAAGTAAATTAATCTGCCCTTTAAAAATGTGCGATCTGAACAAAAAACTGAAATTTTGAAGATTCAATGTTTATATTTTTAAAATTTTTGGCTGAGCCGTTAGCAACACATACATAATTGAAAAAATTGTTTTCGAATGACTGAAAAATCAATACAGCTGTAAATTTAAAACTGGGGATATTTCATAATATAATAATAATAAGTGGGCGCTGTTGAATTCCACTTTCAAATAAACAGACCACCCTGATTCATTCACTTACGCCTCCTAAAACAACACATTTTCACACGAGCATATATTCTATTTCTAGATTTGGATCACTCTGTCTATTTTGCAACACTATATTATGCAGAGTTGCTGATCTCAGAGCTTTAATTTCGGAACGCTCGTAAAACTCAATGGGAAAGTGCGTTGAGCCTCTCCAATGCACTCCAATCATCGCGTTTTCCTCCGTTTTTTTAATGGCGGCAGAAATTTTAACGAGCGGCAATGTGTCTGAAAAGTTCATTAATACAGAGGCGCGTTTTGCAAACTTTAGCTGCTCAGTCTTTTTTATTGCAACGCATTTTTCTAGGCCCACTGCAAACAAAACAGATGCGAGCCAATAAAGACACCATAAATTCACATTTACAAGGGCTTTGCAGATACTTTTTGTTCAATTAAGACGTGACGGCGTGGATTATTGATGGTGTTGTGTCACGCAAACATTTCGAGCCTGACTCAGCGTCGCCTCCAATAATGCTAATTATGCAAGTCAACAGTAAATTGTGCACATATTTCAGGCCCCGAGGAGACGTGGCTTTACTTCTACGGGCCCATTTCCCTGATAATTTGTGCAAACATTTACTTCTTCGTTTCTTCTGCCCTGCACATTTGGCGCATCCAAGACGGCAACAACGGAACGCAATTCCAATCGAGAAGGTTCAAGTAATTATTCGGACGATCTTTTTTTTTCAAAATAATTCCGTGCTAATATTTCAGATGGATGCTTTACCTGAAACTGTTCATTGTCATGGGCATAACCTGGATTTTCGAGGTGGCCTCGTTCGCCGAGGGCAGCAAGTCTTGGTTTTGGTAAATTTCGCACGCTATTTTCATTCAAAATGCTCAAAACATTTTCAGGTACATAACGGACGTCCTGAACTGTCTTCAGGGACTTTTCTTCTTCCTCATTTTGATTTGCCGGCAGCGAGTGCTGCGAATTATTTGCGCGCGGCCTTGGGGCTACAAAATGTTCGGCGATCGCTTCCAAGGCACGCCCGAAGAGCTCGACTCGGACAACGAGGTGGTGGACAACGCCGAAGTCGCCGAACTTGCAAACTCCGCCGTGAAATGAGTTGGAAATTCTGCGATTCAATCAATGTCAACTGAGTCAGTCGAGCGCGTTTGTGCGGCAAATAGAGCTTATCTGGGCCCATATTGAAAGAGCCTCCATAATATTATGAGATTATAGCGAATCTAGGTCGCACAAGTTATTATATGCAGCAGAAATGATGTTCATTTAGTTCAGGAAATTACTACCAAGTATTAAACTCATTAAACTGTGTGAAAGAGAAATTAGAATTAATTCAAATATATATATATATATATATATATATATATATATATATTTTAAATAATATCTGCTGTGATTTCGGAGCCTTAAGCTGGAATTAGTGCTGCCATGACGCAGGACATTTTAATCCACAACTGCACTTCAAAAGCTCCTGCGCGATTCACCTTTGCATAAATTTCCCCCGGACAACAAATTCGAGGTCTTGGTCGTTCAACGGAACCGCGCGTTGGTGCAGTCAAATTAATGCTAAGTCTTGAAATGCTCGTTCCTCTTTTAGTGTTAAATGTGCCGCGGGTTTCCCTGAACCTTTGTTTGCGTCACGACTAGTGTGCTGCGTCATTAGTGTTGCTACTTGATAGGATCGTAACAAAAAAACTTCTTACAGCAGTGTCGGAATCTCACTCTCGTGTCGAGTAAAATTTTTTGAATAAAAATACTTGTGAATTATTTAGTAAAATGTGTGCTTTTCACAGTGGGAGCTGCCGTTCCTCTTTCAGCCCGTCCGACCAGTTTGAAACCTGATTTTATCGAGTGTCTCTGACCTTCCTTGAATGACGTCAATGGTTTTAAGGTTCAATCCTGTTGTGTCGGTTATAAATGTTATAATGACGAAGGAGCTCCATTACTGGGCACACCGAAATTTCCAAACCGAGTAAATTAAAATTCCTACAGTGGCGATTTAAAAATAAAATCTGTGTCATGCCTTGACACCCATACAAAATATGATTGTATTTCTCTTCGCTGCGCTTGATGATGCGAAATAATTTTAATATTCTGCGACTCATTTTTTTTTTTACTTAGGCCAAAAGCAATCAATTTTATTTAGAGTTGTTAAAATTTGATTGTTTCATTGTACTAAGCATATCAAAGAAGAGATGACATCTTTCTAGGAAAAAGATAGTGATATTTTTTCCTTCATTCTTGGCCGAATAAAAATGATATTTATCATCATTATTGGAAGTTCCAGACTGTGTATAACTTAAAATTTTCCTCATTATCAATCGAAAGGCTCAGATCAGTGCAGTTAAATTTAGTCTTTGATAAAATAATCTCGTTTACCTTGGCCTAAATTAATTGATTTTGACTGCAGACTATTATTTTAAAAGCAAAGAGTTGTTGACAAATTATTCCTATGAAAAGGCTATTTTAAGGACTCCAATTTAATTTTCTTAGACTTAATCTCGTTCTGCCTGGTGAGATTGGCAATTACGGTAATTTTTTTTTAAATTTTTAATAGATTAGATTCAAATACAAATTAATCAAAATAATATTGATGAAAATGATTTCATATTTTGCAAGTTTTTTAAAATTTAATTGAGCGAATATTGTTAAAAATATTAGGCCATTATACTATGCAATAAATTAAAAAAAAAAACTCTGAATGATGCGACATAAAATCATAAGAAATTGGACCGATAAATTTGTCACAGTAAAATCAAGCTTTTTTCTTTAGTAAAGATTAAAAATAAGAGTTGTCAAATTTTTTCCCTACCTGCGAAAAGAGCTGGCCGTCCTCTCGCCTGCAAAGGTTGGACAGTTTGCACCTCGTGACGAGATGACAGTCGTCCAAGACTGTGTTGAAAAAGCGCCTTGTCGGCAGCAGGGCCTCGAGGTCGATCATGAGCTCGAGAAAACGCTCACAGTAGTGAACTTTGTCCTGGGACACGTCACCGTTGTCAGTGATGGTGTCCAACAATCTGAAGAACTTTATCATGAGGTTATGCAGGAAGGTTCGATCCCACTGCTGCGCTTGTCGTTGCTCCGGAGTCTCTTTTTTCTGCAGCGATTTCCAGTATTTGCGCCACTTTGAGTTTTGTTTCAACTCTCGCTCTCGGCGATCCTGAATGACAACAAAATTTATGATTATCAAAGAGTGGGTTTGGAGTTGAAATTACGTACTGGTTGAAGTGAGACCCACATGGAGAGTGAAACTAGTCTCTTGGCCTGGTCTCGGATGAGGTCCTCCTCCATGCTGTTGAAGCAGTGGTTCAGAAACACAAGCAGAGAGGTTTGCTCTTTCAGAGAAGCGTTGTCGGACAAACAGGCTTCGAGGAGCGCTCGGAAGAATGCAGGAAAGTGCTCAGGTTTTGACTTGAAACTCTGAAAGATTTGAGCTTATAATTATTTGGAAATAATGCATTAATTTAACCGCACCTCCCAAGCCGGTACTCGTTCTCGAAACTTCTCATTGATCATGACCACTATTGACATGATGTGGGCTAAACTTTTGGTCTGCGGAGTGAAGTTGGGCCAAAGAAAATTCTCCACGTACTGACTGAACTCCAACATCATGATTCGCCTCACAGCGAAGCTGTAACATGACGGAGAAAGTTACTATTTAATGAGAAAAACTAAAACTGTATTTTATGTACGAACTTGGATTCTTTGATTTCTTTGGAGTAAATTTCGTCCACAACCTTGGGGTCAAAAGGAAGTCTTTTTTCCGCCGCATACGGTGCCCAGTACTGATTTGCCAGCTGGAAAATAAAAATGAGGAAAATCACGTTTACAGGGCATTTTAGCAAAGATCAAACCTGTGTGATTCTGTCGGCGTTGATTTGCTCCACAGTGGGCGCTGGGCCTTTTCCTTTCGCCGGGGTGGCATTTTTGTCCGTCTGCTGCTTCCCAGCAGTCATTGCGAAGCCGTAATCACGAAATCACCATGCAGAAGAGGAAATTCAGTGAGAAAGCCGGTATGTGAAGAGCAGTAAACAACTCTAAAATCTAAAACAACACAAAGTACGCCATGCGTGCAAAAATGCAGCGACCGCGACATCTGTTGAGCAAAAAATAAAATAGCCCCTTCGACTAGAGTTTCCGCTTAGAAGAGCCTCCTGCGGCTACAATAAGAACTTTTCACATCTAAAATTCATTTTGATAAAATAATGCGCGAATTATTGATGATAATATTGGAGCTTGGCAGATAAAAAAATCAGATTGACGGAAATTAAGGGATATGGATATTATTTTTTAAATAAGTTGTGAACTTAGTGAAGCCCACCAATAACCTATGTCAGCCCCCGCGGTTGGTTGTTAAAGAGCCACCAAAAAATCCACTAATTTATATGAAAATAGTCACAATTAAAAAGGGAGCGCTGCCACTCCAGATGGTACTGCTTCATTTTCAGCTCCGTATTTTGAATCTCTCCACCCTGAGGGCTGCTCGTCTACCTCTTCCGCTCTCCTGGGCAAGGGTTTGTTCAGTCACCTGGGGAGGGTAGGGGTGAAGCAGCTGGATAAGGTGAACTAGGTCAGCAAAACACGAGATCCAGCAGGGCCAACAGGGCATTTTTGTCACAGGCGGCCGTTGCGGAAAATTTGGTCTTTAAATTGCTGTCGCTGCTCGGCGGTCGACATGAGCTGCATCGGGACAGCAAGATAAAAAGGAGCGCAGGCAACATACTCTTGACCAAAAGCAAGGGTTTCAAACAAGTTCAGATTCATTCTATCAAATTCAGGTGAAAACAATTGTCAGAGCAAAAATAATTCAAAGGGGAAAACTTTAAAGCTGCTTTTAAGGTTTTTAATTTTAAAGTTTAGCTACAAGTTCTTAATTAAGCATACACAGTTATAATCATGCGAACAATTGATAATTATGAAGAATAATAATGAATAGGGAATATTTTAAACAATCAATGTCAAATTATGTGCTTTTAGTGAGGGGCGCACTTGGTTGTAACATCTAACGGGGGGGGAAACGACTCAGGCGGTTGGCAGGAAGTGCTAAGGCCCAGGCAAGGCATTTTCGGTACAAAATTTCCATGACTTCTTCCTGATAGAGGTGGAAGCAGCAAACAGGGCACGGGATGACACGCTCGTGCCAGAGGGTCTCTTCCCAGCATGGCTTGCACATGATGCTGTGCTGGCAGTGGGTGTGCATGATCTTCGAGAGGTTCCTGCAGCCTCTGGCAAGGCATCTTCGGTCATCCTCCTGAACTGGCTCGCGGACACACGACGAAACAAGGTCCAGCACCATTTGGACCAAGATGGCCTTGCCTGTAACAATTAAATGGTTCCATGGTATATTTTTAATAATAATGCAATGTCTAAGAACTCACTTGCGTGCCGCGGCACTTCCACTTTGTTGACCTCCAAGATTTGCAATAATTTGGCCACACTCTGCTTTTGGTAGAATTCTCGGCCACATTTCGGGTCCAAAAGAGCACGTCTCAGATCAGATGGCAAATCTTTGACTCTGATTCGCTAAAAAAAGCCAATGAAATATATCAGTTAAAATATTATTTGAAAAATTTTAAATCATGCAAAATGGATGCAGATTCAACAAAAGTAGGGCAAAAGTGGAGCAAAAAATAATTTTTAAATTCTTTAAAATAATCTTGCCTTTTGGTTAAAAAGGTTAAATATAATATGGCAGATTAACAAACAGAGCCACAGAAAGGAAGTGGAGATAAGAAAAAAATTATTTTACTTTTTTTAATTTGTCATTGGCAGCCTCGGAAAACAACTGCCAAGAATGAATAATTATTATTACTATCACGCAGATTGTTTCAGTTGTGAAAAAAATTCCAGACAGGTATAAGTGAGATCTGTTTGGAAATATTACACCAAATTTGCTTCATTGCAAGAAGACCATTGTTTTATTTTTTTTATCTGCTTTTTATATTAGAATAAAATTAAAATTGATTGGATTTTTGTTCGTTTTCAGTGGCTTTTTGGTCTGAACCAAATCTACTCCTCCCAGCAGCCGCCCCACCTGCTGCTGAACACAAGGTAAATATTACCTTTGTTTGTTAATCTGCCATATTATATTTAACCTTTTTAACCAAAAGACAAGATTATTTTAAAGAATTTAAAAATTATTTATTGCTCCAAAAGGAGTAAAAAATGGGATTTTCTTTGACTTTGTGTTCGGAATGAAGATGTACAAAAAACGCCAGCTTTTGAATTATTACCAAGGAGAGTTTTTCAAATGGTAAAATGATAATAGCAATAGATTTAAATAAATAAAATTTGAAGCCCTGGCAATCGTTTATTAATATAAAAATTGTCCTCTTTACAAAAAGAATCTGGAATCTTAGGTCTGTCAAGATGATAAAAATAAAATTTCACTGTTGAATATTCTTTTGAAAGATCAAAGAAAATGCATAAGGAGATAAAAGGCCCAAAGTCTGCATTTCAATCGCATAAATTCTCAGAGGCTTGAAAGAGAAATTTGGCTCGGATAGCCAAGCGCATTTCAGGACCACTTTGTTTTTATAAATACCCAGCTCGTCTAGCTGAAATCTCAAGAAAAACAATATAATATGAATTTTAGTACCTTGACTAGTGCCTTGAAGCTGCAGGTTTGGCAAGTGCAAAGTGCAAATTGGTCACAGGGCCGGCAGGGCCCGCTGATCCTTGAGTTTGCGATGGACGAACAGCAGCGGCAGTGGAGTCTTTTGCGGCACACACTGTCATCAAAACACATTGGGCGCTATTCTCTTGACTTAGTTCTCCCGGTCTAAAAGTTATCCCGGGATAAATCCAAAGGGATAAATTTTAACCCCCTGACCCGGACTAAATATTTTTTTTATCCCGCCTTAAATTTTTTGATCGAGATAACTTTTTCTTAACCCCGCGTCGGCGGGATAAATATTTAGCCCGCGCTATAATCGAATCAGCTGTTTTTATTAAACGACTCGTGAACTTTTTAAATTTTGGCCTATTGCAACAAACAAAAAACTTTCTCAGATCAGAATTTTGCGAGGATCATGAAAATGATGGCAAAATTGATATCCAAAGCGAACATAAAAATCTGTTTGCAATTGAATTTAAAATTTTGTTCATATTTTACTAACAAATATTTAATGAACTTTTCATCAAAGCGAAAATAGGTGAATTAATTTATTTTTTCTTCAAAATTTTATGCTTGTAAAATTTCCGGGCTCCAAAAAAATTCTCAAGTTTATTTTTTTTTTGTAGTGAAATTTAATAAGCTAATTTTTTTTAATTGCTTTCCAAAACCAAAAGAGTCAACAAAAATTATAACGTAACAAATTAAATAAAAGAAGAAGAAGAAGAAAACAAGTTTTTGATCTCCACCCATCTTCAAGATGTTTCGCCCCCCCCCCCCCCCCACCGCTTTAAATTTTACGTCTTATATAAATCTTTTTATAAATACTTCACATCAAAAATTTTTTAATCATCATAAAATAGATATATACAAATTAGTAAAAAACTGAAGTTTTGCAATTCCCCCCCCCCCTTTTGATCAAGATTTCCTGTTCATGTAAAATTTCAAGAAGAGAACCAAGAAAAGCGATTCGTGCTTTTCTTGTTATTTACTCGCGTGTACCTCTCAGTAATTAGACAAAGGTGCCGAGGGAGGTAAGTGGACGCAAAATTTTTCTTGGTTCTCTCGCACATTTTCAATGTTCCAAGTAAAAATCGTTCTTTAAAAAATAAACCCTGAAACTGAAATTACACTCAACAACACAAACATAGGGTGGGTCCGAATATCAGAGAAACGATTCTAGAAACGATTCTTGAGAAACGTTTCTCGAGAAAAGATTCTCGCGCAGGATTCTCAAGGAACGATTCTTTAGTTGAATTTTAAAGGCAGACACGATCCTGGAGAATCTTTGCGCGAGAATCTTTCCTCGAGAAACGTTTCTCTAGAATCGTTTCTAGAATCGTTTCTCTGATATTCGGACCCACCCATAAAATACTTCTCGTAAGTACTCAATCAACCCTAAATTAAAAAAAAAAACCCCACTTTGATCATTCATTTTTTTTTAACGCAAAATATCGTGAAGATTGTTGGAAAATGAAATCAAATTCTTGAGTTTTTTTTTAATTTGATATTTTACATTCTAATTTTTTTTTAGACTATTGGGTGTCACAAAACTATAAAAAAATTAACTAATTAAAAAAAACACACACACACACACACACATTACACCGAACGAGTGCAAACTTCTTTCTTTACATCTTACGAATGAAAACTTGAGAGTTTCATTATTTGATCGAGTCCGGAAATTTTACACTCATAAAATTTCAAAGTAAAAATAAATTAATTCACCTCTTTTTGCTTTGATGAAAAGTTCATTAAATATTTGTTTGTTATGAACAAAATTTCAAATTCAATTGCACACAGATTTTTATGTTCGCTTTGGATATCAATTTTGCCATCATTTTCATGATCCTCGCAAAATTCTGATCTGAGAAAGTTTTTTGTTTGTTGCAATAGGCCAAAATTTAAAAAGTTCACGAGTCGTTTAATAAAAACAGCTGATTCGATTATAGCGCGGGCTAAATATTTATCCCGCCGACGCGGGGTTAAGAAAAAGTTATCTCGATCAAAAAATTTAAGGCGGGATAAAAAAAATATTTAGTCCGGGTCAGGGGGTTAAAATTTATCCCTTTGGATTTATCCCGGGATAACTTTTAGACCGGTAGAACTAAGTCAAGAGAATAGCCCCCATTGTAATAAAAGACAAAAAGTAAATATTCGTGCATCAGATTTTGAAAAAGGATTTTTTTCAGCAACATCTGTTATAGAAAATCTCATATTGTGTACATATGAGGGATTGGCATGAATCTCTTTTGGGTTCAAATTTGAAAATCATCTGAAGAAATAAAAAGTTTTAAATGGATCTTCACTCCATACTTAAATTTCTAGTGGCTTTGAGCAAAAGAAGTCATTGCAGACGCCACTGCTCGAAGAAATTCATAAAATTGTTGGGTTTCATTTTTAAAATATAAAACGGGGTCCCACATTTTGTCCGAATAAGCTAAAAACGGAAT